ACAAAGGGGCATAATGCCATAAAATATACAAAACATAAATTCTATATAGGTAAAGGTAAAGGTTCCCTTGCTCGAAACCCAGTCGAATCCGACTCTAGGGATGCGGTGCTCATCTCCGTTTCCAAGCCGAAGAGCCAGCGCTGTCCGAAGACATTTCCGTGGTCATGTGGCCAGCATGACTAGACACCGAGGCTCACGGAACACTGTTACCTTCCCACCGAAGCGGTACCTATTTATCTAATTGCAGTTTCTTGCTTTCGAACTGCTAAGAAGAAGAGAAGAGATTGGATTTATACCCCACCCTTCACTTGGAGTCTCAGAGCGGCTTACAAACTCCTTTCCCTTCCCCTCCCCTGTGAGGTGGGTGGGGCTGAGAGAACTCTGACACAAACTGCTCTTTTTCAAGGACAGCTGTGCCAGAGCTTGTGACTGACCCAAGGTCACATCAGCAGGTGCAAGTGGAGAAGTGGGGAGTCAAACCCGATTCTCCCAGATTAGAGTCCGCACACTTAACCACTGCACCAAGTTGGCAGGGGCTGGAGCCAGAGACGGGAGCTCACTCCGTCTTGCAGCACTCGGGTCTCGAACTGCTGAACTACCGACCTTCCGGTCTGCTGCTCAGCGTCTTAACCACTTGAGCCACCTCAGCCCTATAGAATTCAATATACAACTTAATAAAGATTAAAATTCAGAATAAAAGATCCAAGATGGCGTTTAAAAGATCCAAGGGGAGTTCAGAACAAAAGGGGGAGGGGGGATAGGAAGGGTGCCACCCAATAAGGAAACCGTTGCTGCCCTCAACCAAAAGGCTGGCGGAACAACCGGACATCCCTAGGGCCAGGGATCACCAGCAGGTTGTTATCCGAAGAGGTCTTTCACACACCCGCTGCCTGAGATGGGAGCATGCATCGGCTGTCTCACTTTTCATGTCCTTCATCCTGTTTATGTATTTCTCCCCCCCCCTGCCACCGTTTATGTATTTCTCTCCCCCCCCCTTTCCAACACACTGTGAAAAAGAACATGTAAAACAAACAGGATGTGCAGTCTAAGTGTAGTAGGGTAGAGGATTTGTCCAAGGACACTGCACATCCACAATAGGAACTATCACATCCGGCCTTTTTCTTTGACAAAGCTGAATGAATATGCAGAATCAAACTGGCGACACAGAGAAAAGGGAGGACGTACCATGAGACTGAAGGATCTGAGCCATGTGGGCAAATGCTTTTGCTTCAATTCTGCCATGACTTGTAGAAGCTCTTCTCTACATTAAAGTGCTATTCAAGAGGAGCGGAAGCCAGAATAGACTTCGAGAAAAATAAAGGCACCAGAAGGGTTAACAGCCCCCTACTTCCCTGGAGCCAGAGTGATATAGTAGGAAGATAGGTAGCTGTGTTAGTCTGTCTGTAGCAGCAGAAAAGAGCAAGAGTCCAGGAGCACCTTCGGGCTTTCCTGAGGCACTGCTCACTTCTTTAGATGCCACTTCTGAAGAAGAACAAAGTTTGAGTCCAGTGGCACTTTTTTTTCTTCATAGTTTTTTTATTTTAAGAAAAACAGACACAGTACAGACAAAAAACCAGACAAATATGCATATATAAATTGGGGGAATTTCCATATATCCTCAAATTATCTATTATAGTACCTCATACAATATACTTGTGTTCTAAGTTCTGGTTAATTTTTATATGTATCTTTTGCCTATAAATTAAAATATAGTCTGTTAGTTCTTCTAGATTAGCTGAGCATTCATATAGTTTATTTGTTGTTTTCTTCAAACCATTTGTAGAATCTTAACCATGCTTTTTCAAAGTTTTCTTCAGTTTGTCCTCTCAACATTAAAGTCAGTTTATTCATTTCTGCAGTTTCAAACAATTTATCTAAAGTTTCTTGTCTTGAAGGTAAATTCAGTTCTTCTCCAGTATTTAGCACACATCATTCTAGCAGTTGTCACTACGTGTATAATGAGATAAGCATCTTGTCTTTTACAATTTTCTGGTAATATATTCAATAAGAACAATTCTGGTACATAAGGTATAGTACTCTTTAACATTTTTTGTAATATTTCATGAATCCAAGACCAATATTTTTGACTTTATCACATGACCACCACATATGAAAAAGGGACCAACATTTTTCTTACAATTCCAACATTCATTTGATCAGTTAGGATAAAATGTGGCTGGTTTATCTAGAGTGATATGCCATCTATAGAACATTTTATAAATATAACAATCAGTGCATAAAATACAGTAAAACAGCATAAAATCATATAAGAATAGTTCCATTATTAAAAAACAGTTTCATGAAGTGCTGGAGATAGTTATTCGAGATGGCTTATTTCGGTGTACCTTCTAAGAATCGATCTGCCTAAGCTCTCCCTGCAGCACAGGCTAGATGTTATAGACTGAGGGCCAGGGCACTATAGTGCGGAAGAGCTCTGTCTTGCGGAACTGTAAAAGGTCCCACATGGCCCTGATCTCCTCCGGGAGCTCGTTCCACCAGGATGGGGCCACCATAAGCAATGTGAGAGGTACCTTTTCAGTTGTTTAAATCCAACATAATTTATTTATTTGTCTATTTATTAATCACATTTATACCCCGCCCTCCCTGCAATGCAGGCTCAGGGCGGCTCACAATCAGTGCATAAAATACAGTAAAACAGCATAAAATCATATAAGAATAGTTCCATTATTAAAAAACAGTTTCATGAAGTGCTGGAGATAGTTATTCGAGATGGCTTATTTCGGTGTACCTTCTAAGAATCGATCTGCCTAAGCTCTCCCTGCAGCACAGGCTAGATGTTATAGACTGAGGGCCAGGGCACTATAGTGCGGAAGAGCTCTGTCTTGCGGAACTGTAAAAGGTCCCACATGGCCCTGATCTCCTCCGGGAGCTCGTTCCACCAGGATGGGGCCACCATAAGCAATGTGAGAGGTACCTTTTCATGAGTCCAGCCTTTGCTTCTCTTAGCCCCGCCCTGTCGTTGAAACATGTGACTTTCCAGGATCTTGGGCAGAGGAAGGTCATTTCAAGCCCACGTCACCAGAGTTCTTTGAACGGGCATCGAACCGGGGACCTTCTGCGTGCAAAGCAGATGCCTGAAGCCTCGGCAGTGACCACTCCCATTAAAAAGATGAGAGCAGAGCGTGCTCATGAACCCGTCTTGCACAGGATAGGACCATTGCTCCATCTAGCCCAGGCCTAGGCAGACCAGTCACCAACCGGCTCTCTCCAGAGTATCCTGCAGAGAAAGGTCTTTCCTACACCTGCTGCCTGAGATCCTCAAACCAGAACCTGGGACCTCCTGCATGCAACCCAGGCCTTCTTGCCCCTCAGCTGCCGTCCCTCCATCTTAACGCCACAGAGCGAAGGTGTAGCGTTTCATGGATTGTCATACAAAGCCGCCTTTGTTTGGTGTTGTGGTTAGGAGTGCGGACTCTAATCTGGGAGAACCGGGTTTGATTCCCCACTCCTCCACTCGCATGCCATCTATAGAACATTTTATAAATATTTTCTTTATATGAAGTTGCTTTAGTCATCTTAGCATTTTTTCCATACCTGTGACTTTTGGTTCAAATCAATATTATGACCCAAGTTTTGTGCCCATTTAATATGGAATTTTTAACTATTTCATCTTGAATTTTATTTTCTAACATTAATACATAAAGTTTCTTAATCTTTTCATTGGAATATTCCAGTATCTTATCCATTTCTGTCATTTTTGTATAGAAACCTGTTGGTTTATCTTTGGTATATCTTGATTCTATTTGTATTCTTTCCCACCAAGTTATGTTGGATTCTTGTTTTTTAATGTTTTCTGTTGGTCTCAATTCATTTTTATTGTCCAATAAATCTTCATATCGTATCAAATCATTTTTTTTTGAGAATTTCATCTCTCATTATTCTCTTGTGAAATCTTACATGGACTTCTCTGGGACGTTTGGGTTTTTTGTTTGCATAAGTCAATTTCATTATGGACTTCATCTCAGTTTTTTGTACCCATATATGTCGCCAATATTTGGGTCATTGTTGATTTTAAATTTTCATCCTTCTTTTCTGGTATGTTTTGAAATCTTAATGTATATGCTGCTTTGTCAAGCTCCAGTTTTATAAGGGCTTCTTCTATGGAGTCCTGTTTGGTTTTAACTGCTTCCAATTTAAGATCTGCCTCTTGTGATTCCCCCCCCCCCAAAAAAAATTATTTGTTGCAATAGTTACAGCTGAAATTTCTTGTCTATTTTCTTTAAGTTGTTTCTGAACTTCTTCCATCTGGAGTTCCATTTTCTGAACAAGTGTATCTAATTTGTCTTGAATTGGATCCACAGCAGCTTTTACTGCTGTTGTTACAGCTGAAGTTACTGTCTCTTGAATTAGGGCCTGTAATTCTTTTATTGATATTTGTGGTAAATTGGCACCTACAGATTTGGGTATGCCTGGAGATGGCACCGCTCAACCACTCTTACAGTCAGGAAGTTTCTCCTGATATTTAGCCGGTAACGACTCCCTTGTAATTTCCACCCATTAGATCTAGTCTTGCAATCCGGAGCAAGAGAGAATAGATCTGCTCCATCTTTTACATGACAGCCCTTCAAATACTTGAAGACTGCAATCATGTCCCCTCTAAGCCTTCTCTTTCCCAGGCTAAACAGACCCAACTCTTTCAACCTTTCCTCATAAGACTTGGATTCCAACCCTTTCACCATCCTGGTTGCCCTCTTCTGGACATGCTCGAGCTTGTCAACGTCCTTCCTAAAATGTGGTGCCCAAAACTGGACACAGTACTGGGATACAATTATAACACAATTATAATGACCACACACACCTCACCACGTGCACCCGTGCAGGCCCTGAACAGCCTCCTGCCTTCCCTCTCTCACACCAGTTGCTCGCGGGCCAGAGAAGAGCCCTGAATGGGCTGGTTCCGGCCCCCAGGCCATACGTTTGACACTCCTGCACTAGAGGTTGCCTTTGCTGAACCCAAATACATGTTTTCCCTGTTTCAGCTGAATTTCAAGCCCTTTGCAGCAGTGGGATTGGCATCACAGCTGACGGCAGAGGTGAGTCCTGGGGCAGTGCTTCATCTCGGGCAGGGCTATTTTGGGGCAGGAACGCACAGGAACAGAGTTCCGGCTGGCTCCCAAGTTGGCCACGCCCAGCAGGAGCTCATTAGCATAATAGGCCACACCCAACAGCAGAAACTCATTAGGATTGGCTACATTAGGGGTGTGTGGCCTAACATGCAAAGGAGTTCCTGCTACAAAAAAAGGCCCTGGGTTTTGACCACAAACAAGGTCAACAGAATAACAAGCAAAAGGTGGGTGTGGCTGGATAACCACACTTCTGGTAACAAGTGGGTGCGGCCTAATGTGCTAATGAGCTGTGCTGTCAGGGGTGTGGCCTAATAGGCTAATGAGTTCCTGCGGTTGGGTGTGGCCTATATGCTAATGAGTTCCTGCTGGGCTTTTTCTACAAAAAGAGCCCTGAATTCTCGGGTAAGCCATTGTTAAGGAAGAAAGTCGGCATGGCGTGGAGAATGGGTGGGGCCGGGGGGGGTCACACAGGGGGCAGGTGGTTGCCAGGCTGCCCAACTTCCCTTCCCACATCTAGATATCAACGAATGTGCCTTGAACCCGGACATCTGTCCCAACGGGATGTGTGAGAACCTGCGAGGGAGTTACCGCTGCATCTGTAACTTGGGCTACGAGTCCGACCCAACTGGCAAGAACTGTGTGGGTGAGTTGAACCAGTGGTGAGATGCAGGGGTGACCCAGAGAGGCCATCCAGGCACTCCAACCTGCCCTAGAACCCCAAACCCATCATATTTATTACACTGTTGTGCGGCAGTTCGATTTAGCAAGCTAGGATCTGGGAGTCCCAGGTCCAAATCCCAAGTTTCCCATGAAGCTCTCTTGACTAACTTCAGGCTGATCACTGTCTCTCAGCCTAACCTACCTCACAGGGTTGTTGGGAGGGGAAATCGTGGAAGGGAGAACCACATAACGGGACTCTGAGGTTTTTGGAGGAAGGGGGGACAGCACCTTGTGAAAGAGAGATTTTATAAATTGCTCTTCCAAGTATGCTCAAGGCAATTTGCAAAGAAGCATATAAATTTTCAATATACAGTATATTACAATATAGAACAAAGAGCACATATAACATTACTGTAGCCACGCAGCACTGAAAGGTAGTTTGTATTAAAACCAGTGACTGAAAGGTTCATAAGAACATATGAGAAGCCAAATGTCGGATCAGGCCAATGGCCCACCCAGCCCAACACTCTGTGTTACACAGTGGCCAAAAATACCAGATGCCATCAGGAGGTCCAGCAGTGGGGCCAGGACACTAGAAGCCCTTCCACTGTTGTCCCCCCCCCCAAGCATCACTTGCCCCAGACCAAGAGTTCCTATCTATACCTTGTGGTCAGGGGTCATTTCCTGCAGGAGCGCACAGGAGCGGAGCTCCGGCAGTAAAGAGCCCAGGGGGCGGGCACATGCAACAAGCCCCACCCCCTGCTCCCAGCAGCCCTCAGTCAGAGCAAGAAGCAGCCAGGTAAGTTGCAGAGCTCCCGCCGGCCCCCTGGTCCAAAACAGTCCAGTGGCACCTTTAAGACCAAGTTTTATTCAGGTACAAGCTCTCCCTCCTAATGAGTTATGCTAATGAGTTATGCTAATGAGCTCCTGCACCTCTTTTTCTACGAAATGACCCCTGCTTGTGGCTAAGAGCCACTGGTGGACCTCTGCTCCAGATGTTTATCCATTTCCCTCTTGAAGCTCTACAACTTTAGAGCCATCCCCCACATTTTGCAATTTACAAATGTCCAGCTGGACAAGAAAGCTCTGGTCAAGGACTAAAAAGCAGACTCGGTAAAATGGAGTTTGGAGCAGGGAGTTCCACAGATGCCCATCTCTAAATCCAGCACAGATTGAGCTGCTTGGCTGAGACCAGCTGCAATGCGGAGCAGTCCACTCCAGCCAGAAGTAACAAAGCTGTGCAGTTGCTGGAAGATATTGTGGGAATTGGTGCTTCCCTTCAGTGAAGACATTAGGGCCATTCATCATTCCCACCTAGGATGAGCAGAAATCAACCATGTGCTTAGGCTATCCATAAGAGCAACACCGTTTAGAATAGACCCATCAGTGTTAGGATTTTTGTGAGTGAGGGCAGATAAGAGAGTAAAATACGGTCATGGACACAGATACTTGAAGACACTTATTTCAAAAGTAGGTTTCTAGCCCTCATGACTTGCATCTCCAAAGCAAGGGGTACTGAACACCTGCAGCCTGTCAGACTCACAGCAAACAATGAAATACACTCTTGCAGGAAGGTTTTATTTTATTGAAGCCATGAAGTACTTAGAACAGATTCTCTGTTCAGAATAACACACGGTGCTTGAGACAGGTATAATGAAGCAAGTTTAAAATAACATGGGCCAATAGATATGGTTCCCGCGTCCGCCCTGAGGACTCATCGCGCGCTCAAACCCTGAGAATGCAACGGTTGTAGCTGATTAAACAATTATTCTATTCTCACACTACTGTTCATTATAGACTAAGCAAAAAGCCTCCAAACGCGAACCACCTGTAGCCTTGGCAGATAAGGTTCCTTCAAAGCACTGCTAGCGTACATGGAAAGGAATGCAGTTGAAGATGATCGCATGAGTGTGAGGGGGGACATGCGCACAAGAGTCTAAGCCAACCCAGGGAAGGCGAGGGGGGGGGATGGACACATCTCATATGCATGGAAAAGACATATTGGCAGCTTGCTGACACAGCCTTATCCATAGCATCTCTGTCTGTGTCCCTGCCGCCAGATGTGGATGAATGTGCCGTCAACCGCCTGTTGTGTGACAACGGTTTGTGTCGCAACACGCCTGGAAGCTACAGCTGTAGCTGCCCTAAGGGGTTTGTCTTCCGGACAGAGACGGATACCTGTGAAGGTAAGAAATCCACCCACCTGTCCCTGTTGATTTTCTTTTGTCTCTGCCTCTTCCAGATATGTATAGTTCGTGGGCTAGTTGTAGAGGCAACAGGTCCCCAGAGGACCAGACCTGGACAGATTCTTGGAGATAAGGGGCACGGCCTTGTAGGTCAGAGTTGACAATACTGAGTGAGACAGACAAAGCTAGCTTCTTATGTTAACTTGAATCTCTCCTCCCCAGATATCAACGAGTGTACATCCAACCCCTGTGTGAATGGCGTCTGCAGGAATAATGCTGGATCGTTTGCCTGCGAGTGCTCCCCGGGAAGCAAACTGGATTCCAGTGGCACCATCTGTGTTGGTAAAGATTAATCTGCCAGTTTTCCAATTGAGATGGAAAACTGTAACTGTTGGGAATCTTCCTTTATTTTGTCTTTCTGGATTGCACATGGAGCACTTTTCCTTGCATGGTTTGCTACAGTTGGGAACTCTTTCACGTTTCTTCTTTTATGCATACACGTGCATTGACAGAATGGGGCAAAAAAAGGATTCTTGATGCCGTTGGGCATACTGTTGCACTGAAATCCTATGGGTGTGATGATATACCCACAAGCCAGAGTTTTGAACCCACCCCTGTTTGAGAGCTGGTGCAATGCAGTGCGGTCCAAAAGGTCCCCCATTCAAACTGCCACACAGTTGTAATGGGTCCTTTGGCAAGCAGGTCTCTGTTTCCCCCGTCTGGAATATGAGTTGACCAGTCAGGAAAATACCCCTTGCTTGAACTGGTAGAGAGAAAAGGCAGGTACCATATTGATCGTTGTTACCTTCCTGCATATGGGAGGGGAGCATTTACAGTCAGGGGAACAGGAGGGAGAGTTACGCCAAGCCCAGATCCATATTGCACCCCAGTCAGCTCCTCTCTTGAGGCGAAATTATATTTCTCGGTACTCTCATGTGAGTGAAGACACGGTGAGAACCCCCTCTTTTTTACTTATTTATTTTAGAAAAACAGTGAGGGTACAGCAAAGAAAAGGGGAAAAGGGAAAATTGGGTTATCCAACATAATTACATTTGTCGAAGACAATCATGTAGTACACAATATATAGGACAGAGAATAATTTCCCTTTCATCCCCTTAATTCTAATTTTTAAGGTATTATCTATAAAATACAATAATTTTTATTTCTGTTGGGGTACAATTGTATTCATCATCTTAAGTTTTAAGCTTCAAACTTCATAACTACTCTATTTTGACTACACTGGTTTCATCATTACTACATATTCAACATAACATATTTTCGCCACTTCTACATATTTATTAGAACCTTTAATAGATAAGTAGTATATCACAGTGTAAAAGTCTATTATATATCTCATACAGAGAACCCATTTATATTTGGGATATTACATTTGGAACAGATTTTATTTATTTATTTTTATTACCATATATTTGTATATGATATTTTCTCACTTTAAGTTTGTCTCCTGCTAGGATAGTACATATAATAAACTCTCCATCTTTCCTCAAATTTTGTAACAGAACTGTTTCTCAAATGGGTTGTTAATTTTGCCGTTACTGCATATTCAGCAAGTTTATTTTCCCATTCTTCTAAATGTGGACAGATGTCTACATCATCCACTTTTATTCTCTTAATTATGTCATCTTGTCTAATCTTTATAGTTAAAATCTCTATTGCTAGTATAAATAATAAAGGGGATAAAGAACATCATTGACATGTTCCTTTTTCAGTTGAAATTGCTTCTGTTAGTTTCCCATTAATTAAAATCTTTGCTTGTTGGTTCAAGTATATTCCATGCATCCATCTCCAAAATGCAAGATCACAGCCCATATTTTGTAAAACATCCAGTAAGAAAGGCCATATTGTCAAACGCTTTCTCTGCATCTAGAAATAGAAATGCTACTTTCTTTCTCCTCTTAGTCACAAATTCAATTGCATCTATTATAAATTGTATATTATCTTTCATGTTCTTCTTTGGTACAAAACCTGTTTGGTCAGAGTGTATTAAATTTGGTATGCATTTTCTTAATCTTTCTGCCATTATTGTGGCAAAAATTCTGTAGTCTATATTCAGCAGAGAATTAGGTTATAAGACTGTGGTAGTGATGAATCGCTGTCCTCTTTATGTATTAGTGTTATATACACCTCTTGTCACATCAGGGATATTGAGAGGTTTCTTGAATTTCTCTATGTTCTGACGTAAACTTTGCAATCGGGATATCTTTTAAATATTCTCTTATTCTTTCTTCTGAAACTAACTTTTTTTGGTATAATCCTGAGAGAACACTAATAAATTGTTCGGCTGTGGTCACACACACTAAATAATCCACTTTCAATGCGCTTTCAATGCACTTTCCTACTGGATTTTGCCATTTCACACAGTAAAAATCCAGTTTGAAAGTGGATTGAAAGTAAAAATCCAGTTTGAAAGTGGATTGAAAGTGGATTATTTAGTGTGTGTGACTGCAGTCTTCCTGTATTTCTTTGGCCTCCTTTCTTTACACCTGTTATTACTCTTTTTCTCTTTCCTTCCTGAGACAATATGCCAGATATCTGCCAGGTTTATTCGCATGTTCAAAATATCTTTGCTTTAGAAATTTTAATTTTTTCTGTACCTCTTCTACTCTGCTAGTGTTTTTTATTATGATTGCTTTTATGTTCTTGTTCCAATCTCTGGGGTTTTTTTCCAGTTATTATCCTAATTTGTTCTAATCTTTCTTGCTTTTTTCGATGAGGGTCCCTCTTACCACTATATATTGGAAGTTCACTTCAGACGCTGCTGGAAGTCTGCCAGTCTTTTTAATTATGATCGCAGTTCTGGGAGTCCAAAAATATCCAAAATATCGTGGTTCTGGGAGTCCAAAATATTGCAAATATTTCTGAATCCAGATTGGGTTGGGGGGGAAAGGAATAAAAAGAAAAGGATTGGTTGGTTGGGGTCGGCTGACCTTATCAGCAAAAAGCCCTCCTTATCTCAGCTGCACTTGATATTTCCAGAACCCAGGTGGAAACTTGACTTATCAAGCCCCCCCGCCCCCCCATGAGTTCAACTGTCAGTCGAATCTCCCTTGTGGGGAAGAGGTAAGGATAGAGGAGTAAATTCTCTCCTCTCCTAGTGTTGTTTGCCCCACAGCGAGAAAGGAGTGGAGCCTTTGAAGTCCGAGAACCCCCTCTTTAAGGGAAAAGATGCATGTATGTTCACCGCAGACTGTGACGGCAGGCATGAAATTAAAAGACGCCTGCTCCTTGGGAGGAAAGCGATGGCAAACCTAGACAGCATGAAAAAAAGTAGAGACATCACCCTGCCAACAAAAGTCCGCGTGGTCAAAGCAATGGTATTCCCAGTAGTCATGTATGGCTGCGAGAGTTGGACTATAAGGAAGGCCGAGCGCCGAGGAATAGATTCCAGGGGTCATTTCGTAGAAAAAGAGCTAGGGGAACTCATTAGCATAACTAATTAGCATATGCCACACCCCCTGACATCAAGGGCCCAGCAGTGGACCTGCAAGGCCAGCGGGAGTGTGAGGAAGCCCCGCCAAGGCCCTCCCTGGCCCTAGGCAGGCAGGGGTGGGGAGAGGTGGGGAGGAAGCAACTTACCCTCTCTCTTCTCCTGCCACCTCCTGGCTGAATGAGGGCTGGAAGCGGGGCGGCTGGAAGCAGGGGGCGGGCTTCATCATGTGCCCCGCCCCCCTGCACCTCACCCGGGGGAACTGTGTTCCCCCGCGTTCCCCCCCGAAATGACCTCTGATAGATTCTTTTGAACTATGGTGCTGGAGAAGACTCTGGAGAGTCCCTTGGACTGCAAGGAGATCAAATCAGTCAATCCTAAAAGAAATCAACCCTGACTGTTCCCTGGAAGACCAGATAATGAAACTGAAGCTCAAATACTTTGGCCACCCAATGAGAAGGGAGCACTCGCTGGAGAAGACCCTGATGCTGGGAAAGATTGAAGGTCAAAGAAGACGGGGACGGCAAAGGATGAGATGGTTAGACAGTGTCATAGATGCAACGAACATGAAATGGAGCCAACTTCAGAGGACGGCGGAAGACCAGAAGGCCTGGCGTGATCTGGTCCATGGGGTCGTGAAGAGTCGGACTCAACTGTGCGACTGAACAACAACATGTTATGTGCCATCAAGTCGCATCTGACTTATGGTGACCCTATGAATTAATGTTCTCCAGAACATCCTATTCATTAACAGCCTTGCTCGGGTCTTGCAAATTGAGGGCCTTTGTGGCTTCCTTAATGGAGTCAATCTGTCTCATATTGGGTCTTCCTTTCTCCCTGCTGACTTCAATTTCTCCTAACATTATTGTCTTTTCCAGCGAGTCTTGTCTTCTCATAATGTGACCAACATCCGATAGCCTCAGTTTAATCATTTTAGCTTCTAGGGAGAGTTCAGGCTTGATTTGATCTGGAGCCCACTTATTTGTCTTTTTGGCGGTCCACGATATCCATAAAACTCTCCTCCAACACCACCTTTCAAATGAATCAACTTCCTTCCTGCTAGGGAAAAAGTAGGATAGACATATTTTGAGTAAAGAGGGCTGGTGATGTATTCAGACATACTAGCCAAGTGTTTCTAGAGTTTGGGAAGTGGCAGAGCCGCCTGCCTTTTCAACCTGGCCTGAGCCATGGGGGCTTCAACCGGACAGGAGGCCCATCTGATCAGGCCTTTGGGCTTTCCCTCCCTAGACAGTATGAAAGGAACCTGTTGGCTGAACATCCAGGAAGGACGGTGCGAGGTGAACATCAACGGGGCCACGCTGAAGTCGGAGTGTTGCGCCACCCTCGGTGCCGCATGGGGCAGCCCGTGTGAGCGCTGTGAGATTGGTAAGGGACAGTGCAGTGCCTTTCTGCTTACCTTGAAATTCTGTAGCTGTTTTGCAGTGAAATCTCTCTGGGCGAAATTTCACGTCTCTCGCCGTTCATTCTCTTTTGCTGCAGATACCGCCTGCCCAAGAGGTTATGCCCGGATGAAGGGGGTCTCCTGTGAAGGTGTTTATTTATTTAATTGGATTTTTACCCCGCCCTCCCGCCAAGGTGGCTCAGTAGTGTGCCTCTGGGTAGCAATCCCATGCTCCGCAGTCTGGGTGACTGGCCAGAGATATTCTAGTCTCCCTAGATACCTTAGACAAATTTCAGATTTCTATAATCTTATATTGCTCACTCTTACTGGTGCAACTTTTCATCTCATTTGCGCTGCTCTATCTAACGGGGTGCGGAGACTACTTGGCACAGCAGGGGGTGGTGATCATCAAGGGAACAAAGTAGAAGACAAGTCTCTGCCCCAAAGAACTTACATTGTAAAACTTTCAGACACAGAATGCAACGGTCTGAGATGGGAACAAATTGGAAGAATCAGTGGCCTTTTCCACTGGAAAGTTTCATTCGGGATGGGGGACGAAGGGGTTGCATCAGATGGTTTGAAGAGAAGTCATGGTTTGGGGGGGGGAGATTTGAAGGTGGCATCACACAAACTTTCTGGGAGGGGGTTCCATGCATAAAGAGAAGGGAGGAAAAGAAAAAGAGTCAAGGGATCTGTAGATCTTTGAAGCTCTGGGAGGGGGTTCCGGGCACAAGGGGCAACACAAGAGAAAGGACAGAGACATTCAAGGAAGTGAAAAATCTGTGGAGATGGGGGGGTGGGGGTTTCAAGGCATACGGGGCAAAGAAAGGGTCACTTAAGAAAGCAGGAGATAAGAACATAAGAGCATAATAAGAGCTCTGCTGGATCAGACCAGTGAAGGTCCATCTAGTTCAGCTTCCTGTCTCACACAGTGGCCAGTCAGTTCCTCTGGAGGTCCAACAACAGACAAATTGGAAGTCTCCAGAATCTTATCTTGCTCACTCTTACTGGTGAAACTTTCTTCCCATTCACCCTACTCCACCTAAGGGGGATACGCAGACCGCTTGGCATGGCAGGGGGTGATGATTGTCAAGGAAACAAAAGTAGAAGACAAGTCCCTGCCCCAAAGAACTTAGAGTGTAAAATGTTCAGATAGGGAACACAACAGTCTGAGATGGGAACAAAAGGAAAGAATCAGTGGTCCTATGGACTGTGATGTATCAGTGATCGATAGGGGTGTGGGAGCAGGTTTCAGGTGCAGGGGCAGTAAAGGAGAGCGGGCAAAGACGTTTTAGAGAACAGGAGACTTTCAGAGTTCTGAGGGTAGTGGGAGTGAAGGGGTGCAAGTCACAGTAGAGATGTCAGGGGGAGCAAGGCCACGAAGAACCTTGAAGGTAAAGGTGAGGAGATCATCTTGAATCCAGGAGCTGACAGAAAGTCAATGCAGGGATTTCAAAAGAGCCAGTTTGGTGTAGTGGTTAAGTGTGCGGACTCTAATCTGGGAGAACCGGGTTTGGTTCCCCACTCCTCCACATGCACCTGGCTGGATGACCTTGGGCAAGCCATAGTTCTGATAAGAGCTGTCCTTGAAAAAGAGCAGTTTCTGTCAGAGCTCTCTCAGCCCCGCCTACCTCACAGGGTGTCTGTTGTGGGGAGGGGAAGGGAAAGGAGTTTGTAAGCCCCTCTGAGACACCTTTGGGTAGTAAAGGGCGGGGTATAAATCCAATCTCCTCCTCCTCCTCCTCCTCTTCTTCAAAAAGGGTATAAAAAAGACCTGAACAATAAGAAGGGAATGATTTTGACAACCGTGTGCTGTTTTAAGTCACGGGGAGTCAAGGAGAAGCATGTCGCCTTGATGTTTCTGTTTCAACAGACGTGAACGAATGTGATGTTTTCCCGGGTGTCTGCCCCAATGGCCGTTGCGTGAACACAGCCGGGTCTTTCCGTTGCGAGTGTCCCGAGGGCTTGACGCTGGACGGTTCTGGCAGGATGTGTGTGGGTAAGGACGGACAGTGACGTGGGCCTCACACTCCTTTGCCACACGTGCACTGGCAGTCTCTTTCTCATCCCTGAGAGGAAATCGGTGCTAGCTTGGTTCTGTGGGTCCCCCTCGTCCCTTTGGGCTGTCATGAAGTTGCCTAGGTCTTCCCTCTGTCCAGAAAAGCAGGGGCAGGCTGGGGGAATCATGAGCACTGATCAATACTCCAGGATGAGGCTCCAGAATTACTCAGGCAAAGGGGTAAATCAGATTTTATTTATTTTGTGCAGCCTTGAGGGGGGGATCGGCTGGGAGCCAGCCCACATTGACCGACAGCTGATCACCCTCCTCCCCCAGTGCTGCCTGAGAATCAAGTGGCATGGGGGAATCAGGTGAAAGATGATCAGCGTTTCCAATGGATCTCATGCCATGGATCAGCAGCTGCACAGGGACCTCAGGGCAAGGGTCGTAGAGTATTGGAGGCTCCCCCAATGGACCCCTCTAGCATGGGGCCAATGGAGCTGCCCTGGGTGCCCCGGTCCTAAGACTGTTCCTGAAGAAAAGGCAAAGGTTTCTGGTTAGACTCCCTCTCTAGTCATGGCGTGCTTGCGAATGCCACGAGCCAACCTCACGGCTCTCTCTGCCGTGCCGCCTCCTCTCCCCAGACGTGCGGCTGGAGCAGTGCTACATGAAATGGGCTGAGGATGAGTGCACGGAGCCCCTCCCCGGCAAATACCGCATCGATCTGTGCTGCTGCTCCGTCGGCTCGGCCTGGGGCAGCGACTGCGAGGAATGCCCCAAGCCCGGCTCCGCAGAATACAAGGCCATCTGCCCACGAGGACCTGGCTTTGCCAACAGGGGGGACGTCCTGTCTGGCCGACCTTTTTATAAAGGTGAGTGGGAGAGCAAGGAGGGTGGATGAGTCATCACCTGGACACCTAGGCAGATCCACTTGGAGAGGCACTTGGCAAGATGCCCTAGGTGCTTTCTCCTCCCTCCCTACAGTGGGTTTCCCTGCTTAGTGCCACTGGGTACATGAGGTCCAGTGAATCCAAACATTTTCTCTCCTCCAGAGGGAGAGAACTAGGAAGTGAGTGACAGCTGCCACTCCGTTCGAGGCAGGGGGGGAGACAGCAGCAGCAAGGAGTACTTGCGCTATGTCAGCTGTGGGTCTTTTGGGGCCTCCCCATCCGGGCCATGGCCAGCATTCTGTGGCTTGTGGGGCAATTTTTTTTCTGGTGGGGCTGAAGTTCTCCGTACAGAAAGAAAAGCCATTCAGCCAATAGAAAGCTGTTACCACGGTAGATCTCTAAATTGCAAGCTGTCAAGCACTTCAGATGACAGTTCTCAGCTGCTGCAAGTTAATCACTTCTGCCAGCCTAAGCAGCAGTTCTGAGAACAAGCCGGCAGGTGGGCGTGATGACTTCTATAGTCAAGAAAGCTCATACTTAGGCAGAAAAGCTCTCTAAAAGGAGACCAGTTTCTCGACACAGAGTTAGAAGGGATCCTAGAGGTCACCCACTCCAACCCTCTTGCTCAATGTGGGAATTAGTCAACTACAGCACCCCTCTCTTCTTAAAGGAGTGCATGCCTTTTAAAAATGTTTCTAAATGATTGAAAAATGCCTTTACAGGAGAAAGGGGGTGAAGCCTCCCAAGACCCCACCATAGGTATGGGCCTGCTCCCCATTGCCTTTGCCACCTTCTGAGGCTGGCTCTGCCTGGGCCACTGGTTCCCCAATACACCCCACTGCACTCTGAAGTGACACAACTTAGGTTTCCTACCTCAATGAGAGCTAGAGCCTTTGGGAGAACTTCCAGCAACCTTCCTACCCACCTTTTTCACAGGTGAATCAATGTGCTTCATTAAATGCCCCTGATAGCAACTCCTCCACAAGGATCAGTGCCCCTCTTCCCCTTTGAGAGCTTCCTAACAGGCCTTCATTTCGCTTCTTTCCCCCGCAAGATGTGAACGAATGTAAGGTGTTCTCGGGACTGTGTACTCACGGAGTCTGTCGCAACACAATCGGGAGCTTCCGATGTCTCTGTGGCAGTGGCTTCGCACTGGACGCCGAGGAAAGGAACTGCACTGGTAAGGCAGAGAAGAACCCGTGCCCCATGTCTCCTCATACTCCCGGGCAGCGATGCAGATCCTATGGAAGTCGTGGAGGGAAGTGCCATGAAATTGCAGCCAACTAATGGTGACCCCCCCCCATAGGGTTTTCAAGGCAAGAGACATCCAGGGTTTGCATGCCTCTGCATAGTGACCCCGGACTTCCTTAGCAGTCCCCCATCCCGGTATGAGACCGCCTCTCCCCATATGAGCCCCGGAGGGTACTGAGGTCCACAAATCAACATCTGTTAGTGGTTCCCGGCCCCAGGGACGTCCGACTTGCCTCGACCGGGGCAGGGCCTGGTGGAATTAGCTCCCCTGTGAGATCAGGGCCCTGCGGGACTTACTGCAGTTCCGCAAGGTCTGCGACACTGAGCTCTTCCACCGGCCTTTGGTTGAGGCAGGGGGCGTCCCCCTCATCCTCCCTCCTGCTTCTCTGGCCCCAACATTTCCTGGCCAGTTCCTCAGGCCGATTGTCCATCAGCGGCCTGATTCTGATCAATCCTCTGACAGTTTCTATAATCATACGGTATCTTACGATTTTATGTGTAAATTGTTCTTTTAATATTGTTTTTAATTGTATATTAAATGCTGTACGCCACCCTGAGCCCATTGGGGAGGGCGGTATATAAATCTAATAAAATAAATAAATAATAAATAAGTACTAACCCCGCTTAGCTTCAGAGATCTGACAAGATCAGGCGAGCCTGGACCGTCCAGTTCAGGGCCCACGAAACAGGGATTAAAGTTTATTAGAAACATAATACATGGATACGATAGCAGCCAAGCTGGGCAGTTTTAAAGCTGGCTTAGTGGCAGAGCCTCTGCTTGGCATGCAGAAGGTCACAGGTTCAATCCCCGGCATCTCCAGTTAAAAGGATCAGGTAGGAGGTGATGGGAAAGACCTCCGCCTGAGACCCTGGAGAGCCATGAAGTGGGGCTGTGGCTCAGTGGGAGAGCCTCTGCTTGGCATGCAGAAGGTCCCAGGTTCAATCCCCGGCATCTCCAGTTAAAAGGATCAGGTAGGAGGTGATGCGAGAGACCTCCGCCTGAGACCCTGGAGAGCCATGAAGTGGGGCCGTGGCTCAGTGGAAGAGCCTCTGCTTGGCATGCAGAAGGTCACAGGTTCAATCCCCGGCATCTCCAGTTAAAAGGATCAGGTAGGAGGTGATGGGAAAGACCTCGGCCTGAGACCCTGGAGAGCCATGAAGTGGGGCTGTGGCTCAGTGGCAGAGCCTCTGCTTGGCATGCAGAAAGTCCCAGGTTCAATCCCCGGCATCTCCAGTTAAAAGGATCAGGTAGGAGGTGATGCGAGAGACCTCCACCTGAGACCCTGGAGAGCCATGAAGTGGGGCCGTGGCTCAATGGAAGAGGCTCTGCTTGGCATGCAGAAGGTCACAGGTTCAATCCCCGGCATCTCCAGTTAAAAGGATCAGGTAGGAGGTGATGGGAAAGACCTCGGCCTGAGACCCTGGAGAGCTGCTGCCCATCTAAGTAGCCAGTACTGACCTTGACGGACTGATGATGACCTGATTCTGTGTAAGGCAGCTTCATGTGTGATATGTGCATAATTTTTTTTTTAATGGCATTTGTCCCCAAGACATCAGTTTCCCCACACAAACACCTTTCTCTCGTTCACACACATGTAAGCGATGCAGCTGAATTTTCCAGCCACTGCTTCTATTCAACAGTCCCTCTTTTTGACATGTTTTTTTTCCAGCTGGGTACAGAAACCACATTTATCATTTCTCCTGACCATCCTGACATTTGATAGAAATATTGTTGTTAAAATTATAAATAATGAGGGTGCAAACAGAATGAATAAGGAACGACGACTGTGAACGTGGATGAAACTACCTGAGGATTAGAATCCATGGAAAGCAAAGCCCTTTTCAAACAGCCAGTTTGGTGTAGTGGTCAGGAGCGTGGACTCTAATCTGGGAGAACCGGGTTTGATTCCTCACTCCTCCATGTGCAGCTGCTGGTGTGACCTTGGGTCAGTCACAACTTCTTTCAGAGCTGTTTTCTCAAGGGCAGTCCTCAAAAGACCTCTTTCAGCCCCGCCTACCTCACAGGGTGTCTGTGGTGGGGAGGGGAAGGGAAAGGAGTTTCTAAGTCGCTCTGAGACACCTTTGGGTAGTGAAGGGTGGGGTATAAATCCAATCTCTTCTTCTTCTTCTTCTTCTTTTTCTTCTTCTTCTGTTATGATTTTGGCGCATCTGCCTTGCATACAGGGAGAGTGTGCTACATGTGATATATGTATTTGGCAGTTTGTATAAATCGGGCAGTGTGTATATTTTTCTGCCTTTGGTACCCACAGATCCTCTAAAAGACCTGTTTTTCCAATTGTGCATATCAGGGCTAGAAAATATGCTTGTTGCCCATTTCACAGAAAATAGCAATTGTACATATAGAGAGGATCACACATAGCACACACCCCTGGTACGCAAGATAGGAACACCAAAACCGTGACAACTGAAAAGGGCTAAAAAGAAACAAGCACGGGTATATTTGATACAGTCCAAATATGCCCACACGTGCACACACATGCATTTTGGGGCGCATATTTGAGTTGTACGTCTCTGTCCCTTTAACGCATGACCGTGCTGCTACGTTTAAGAAGAAGAGAAGAGATTGGATTTATACCCCACCCCTCACTACCCAAAGGAGTCTCAAAGTGGCTTACAAATTTCTTCCCCTCCCCACAACAGACACCCTGTGAGGTAGGTGGGGCTGAGAGAGCTCTTTCGAGCACTGATCCTGAGAGAACCGCTAAAAAGAATTTGTAACTGACCCAAGGTCCCCAACCAGGAGTGGGGAATCAAACCTGGTTCTCCCAGATTAGAGTCCGCACTCCTAACCACTACACCAAACTGGCACCAAACACTTTAAGCGTTTGTTTCAAGATGCTCTTTCCTCGCAATGATTTTGTAGTGTTTCAACCATTACCATTAGTCTTCTTACATTGGCATGTGGCTTCAGAACCTCTGTTGAGGCACAGGTATACTAATTACATGCAGGCCCTTTGCCTTCAAGTGGGAAGTACATCCTGATGTGCAACATGGGTGCTCATATGCACATGCGCACATGCGCATATATGGGACCCAAGTGTCATCTGGGCTTGGTGTGAATTTGCAACAGGCCTGGTCTTCCTAACCCCAATCCTTCCTAACCCCAATCTAATTATAAGAACACATTGGGGTAATAAGAAGTTTGCCGTTTGGACCACTGTCCCAGGGCATCCCCGATACTGTTACAGTGTGTGCATTACTACCCCCCCCCATGTTTGACCTTTGTATTTATTGCATGGGTGCACAGGTTTTTTATACAAACAACTGGAAAAGCACACACACGCACACACACACCCCATCTGTTTATTTGTAGACTTGTGTAAATTAAACCTAAATGTTTTCCTAGCTGTATTTTTATATTGGTTGGGCTAGGAGGAGGGATAAAAACAGTACATGAAAATCATTCAATAAATAACCAGGCACATTTTGGAGTGTTTCTTCCTGAAAACTAGTTTTCTTTTCTTTGTATTTTTGTGTGTGTGTCTGTCTGTGTGTACCTGGAAGTCACGGCGACCTCTGGTGACTGACCCCTACTGATAGGGTTGCCAAGTCGTACCTTAAGCCGCAGCGGAGGAGTCCTGGCTCGCTCCGGGAGAGAGCGCGCGCGCCGTGAGCACGTCACCCGGAAGTGATGCGGCCGCGTCGGGCACACCGGGGGGCGGGGCCACGGTCATCCAAGGGGAAAACATAGAGTTTTCCCTCAGATGACTGCCTCTGGGGCGGGGTTTTCCCCGCCCCTCGGGGGGACTTGGCAAGCCTACCTACTGAGGGCCTGGAGGATATTCAGAATAGGGCCTGCCCCTGTCCTCCCAACCAGTGTTCCCTCTAAGCCGAGTTAGTGTGAGCTAGCTCAGTTTTTTAGCCTCTGGCTCACACATTTTTGTCTCAGCCCAGGAAGGATGGCTCCAGAGCAAACCAGTTTATGCAGTAGCCAAATCACTCGCTCACAACTTTACATGCCAGTAGCTCACAAAGTAGAATCTTTGCTCACAAATCTCCACACAACCCAAGTACTACCCAATTAGATGGCCTCCCGTGCGCGGGCATTTGGCAGATTGTCTAACGGCTGCGAAGCTGGGAACGTAAGAAGCTCCCACGAAACCTAGACATGATTAACTCCTCCAGTGACCTTGATAGATACGGGTTACAGCTTTGAAGCAGTGAGGCACATGGGAAGGAATGCAGAGCAATTAGAAACATACACCACACTCATGGCAGCTTTAGCATTGCTCCCAACTTGGTATTCCAAGGAGGTCTCCCATCTAAGCACTAACCACAGTCCACCCTGCTTGGCTTCTGAGATCTGACAAGATCAGGCTTTCCTGGGCTATCCAGGTCAGGGCTGACAAGCTAGTTTTCAGCATGCAGGGGTTATGATGGAATGCTCTTCCATGCAAGATGAATTTCTGCTAGTTTTCAGTGTGCGAGGATTTATTTATTTTTTTAATGGAAAAGAATTCAATCCTGGGGGCTCCGCCTGGAGAATGGTGTTTCCTGTCTCCTGGCCATGCTTTGGAGGACAGACCAGCAGGGGGGAGGTCATGGACGATGATTCCAGCACTTTGTCACCTTCCCAGCTGGGTCTCTCTCTTCTGCTCCTTGCAGATATCGACGAATGCCGGATCTCACCAGACTTGTGTGGCCACGGCTCCTGCATCAACACGCCTGGAAGTTTTGAGTGTGAATGTTTTGAAGGCTATGAGAGTGGATTTATGATGATGAAGAACTGCATGGGTGAGCAGGGGATCATGGGAGACTTTTGGTTTTTTTTAATTTTGGAACAGCTATCTGTTTAATCCAAATATACAAATCCCACTAGTAGAAAACACCGTCAAAGATTGCCAAAATAATATATTAAACAATTATAAAGTTGGTGGTGTCACAACAACAACATTAATGCATACTGTAACTATAATAAGGCATAAGATTCAATATTTCCTCCTTAGAAGATAAGACATAAAGTCCATGTAGTCAGTGTGTAACTTGATAGGAGGAGTCCACATAGTCATAACATTTTCCAAACAGCCTTTGCAAAGACGCCCATTCTAGATACTTGGAAGATGCGTTTCCTTCGACTTCTTCAGTTTGCCGGCTGTGTAAGTGGAACTGTGAAGAGATTGACACAAATGCCTAGCCACAAAAACACATATGAAAACCAGAATTGTTTAAAAAAACACGCCTGAAGAATACACTCACCCTGATTTCAGCAATTTCAACAGACCACAAGGTTCATAGCGTAAGGAGCGAATCATAGGTTCTCGAAGATACAGACGAAGATGCATGCAAATTTAAAGCTCAACAGGGAGAGGAACAGGTGTAGCCAATTTAGATTAGTCCCATTTACAGGGTTCTGTTTTTCTAAAATGAACATTTAAATATATTCTTTTTGTTTACAAAAAGGCTGAAAAATCAATTTCCCTGTTCAAGCCAAAAGGTTCATATGTTTTCAAATCAAAGATAAGGCATGCCTCCCTCTGTAACAGAAGACACTGCACATCCTGCCTCTGGAAAGGCTTATTTTGGTGTACAAAAATCACTCCAAACTTCATGTTGTCCACGTTATGCCCAGTACTAGCATAATGTTCTGCTTACTAGTGGAATTTGTATATTTGGGACTCCTGTGACACTAGTCTTTTCCCCTTGTTGTTTGGATTTACCGTCTGTTTAATCCAGGCTGCCCTAAAATCTCTCATTGCCTACCCTGGAATTCCCATAAAGCAACCTCAATTAAATACCCTAATTAATATGGAGCCTGATCCTCAGGGAAGTTACCTCGTGCAAGCCTCTCTGGAATATTCTTGCACAGACCCCTCCCTCCAGGGCTATTTTTGGGCAGGAACGCACAGGAACGGAGTTCCGGCTGGCTCCCGAGTTGGCCACGCCCAGCAGGAACTCATTAGCATAATAGGCCACACCCAACAGCAGAAACTCATTAGGATTGGCTACATTAGGGGTGTGTGGCCTAACATGCAAAGGAGTTCCTGCTACAAAAAAAGGCCCTGGGTTTTGACGACAAACAAGGTAAACAGAATAACAAGCAAAAGGTGGGTGTGGCTGGATGACCACACTTCTGGTAACATGGGGTGTGGCCTAATATGCCAATGAGCTGTGCTGTCAGGGGTGTGGCCCAATATGCTAATGAGTTCCTGCTGTTGGGTGTGGCCTATTATGCTAATGAGCTCCTGCTGGGCTTTTTCTACAAAAAGAGCCCTGCCTCCCTCCCTTCAGTTTGGCAAAGGCCAGGCAAGAGGGTCAGACCTTTTAGTCATGGCATCCCAAAATACGGCATCCAAACTTTATGTCACAAGGGGGGGGGTCATATGAGTGCCACCAACCCACACCTTCCGTTCTGGAGACTAATAGACCAAACTGATGCTGGGCGACCTCGTTTTATCAGCTCCAGTATATCAGTGGCTGTTTGGAGGGGAGTGGGGAACAGGCAAACATGGTGGCATCGTGTGACAGAAAAGCAAAATTGTGAAGAAATGCCAGAAACAAACGAATTAGATTACTGATAAAATACAACCGGTAAGGGGAATGAATTTGGTCAGAGACAAATTCTCCCCAAACAGGGATTACCACTGGTAGATAGAGTTGATCAGAACTGATTCCCCATGAATGGGAGTAAAGCAGATGTGACACTCTAAGTCCACTCTACCTCACCAGAGGTTCATCTCCCCACCCACTCGTTCCTTGTCTTCCAGATATTGATGAATGCGAGAGAGACCCCTTGCTCTGCCGGGGAGGGGTCTGTGTCAACACCGAGGGCAGTTTTGAGTGTCTTTGTCCCCCAGGACATGAGCTCACTTCTGAGGGGAATGCCTGTGTCGGTAAGTGCCAGTGAATGGATCCAGGCCTCCAAAACCCAGGTGTTTCTTATGAGAGGATAGGCAGGGGTTGCTATACACCTACTGATGGAAGGCTGCGTATGTGGCAGAGCTGTGATCAGAACACCTGACTTAAAAACACACACACACACAGCCATGGGGAGACCCAAGTTATATCAGGTGTGAGAAAATGGGAGAACAGGGTTTAACCTTTTTTGTCCTATGGATATCTCCCATTGAACTCGCCCCCTTGAAGTTGCCATTTTTAGAGAAAATGTCTCTGCAAACACAAAGCAACCTTGTTCACTGTAACACTAGTCATACTTATGCCAAATTCCCCTTTTCCTTACTGTCCTAGAGAAGAACTACTAGGGGAAATGTGGCTTAGCTCCAGTGTTCCCTCTAAGCTGAGTTAGTGTGAGCTAGCTCACAGGTTTTTTTAGCCTCCGGCTCACACATTTTTTCCTTCGCTCAGGAAGGATGGCTCCAGAGCAAACTAATTTATGCAGCAGCCAAATCGCTCACTCACAACGTTAATGCCAGTAGCTCACAAAGGAGAATTTTTGCTCACCAGACTCCACAGCTTAGCGGGAGCATTGCTTACCTCCCGATATATCTTGAGTATTACGGTGATATCCAGGGGAAAACTGGATTTGCTCAGTGAAACTGAGTGAGGAGGAACACATTCGTCCTCATGTCCTCTGCCTTCCACCCCACTCCCCCCCCACTGTGCAGATCTGATTCCCCTCCTTTAATGAGCATTCCAAAAACCCTGAATGGATTCCCACACACAGAGCATTCCGAAAACCCTGAATGGTGTCCCCCACACATAGACCCTTAATTCCCGATAGACAAACACTTGACCTTTGTAGCAAAAACTGACCTAAATGTGGTGCCTTCCATGGAGATAGATCAAGGTGGGTTGCCGTGTTGGTCTGTCTGTAGCCATAAAAAAGAGCAAGAGTCCAGCAGCACCTCAAAGACTAGCAAAATTTGTGGCGGGGGAGGAGCTTTCGTGAGTCACCGCTCTGCAGGAGTGACTGGTTACTCACAAAAGCTGCCTTTCCCTGCCACAAATTTTGTTAGTCTTTTAAGGGGCTGCTGGACTCTTGCTCTTTTCTACTGACTTAAATGTCTTCTGAGATCATCTTTTGTCCATTCCTTCTCTTCAACCTCTCCTCTCCCGCCTCAAGATATCAACGAATGCTCCCTCAGCAGCAATCTGTGCCGTAACGGCCGCTGTGTCAACATCATCGGAACCTACCAGTGTGCATGCGATTCTGGGTTCCAGGCCACACCGGACCGGCAAGGCTGTGTTGGTGAGTTTCCCGACTCCTTGTCTCTCGGAACCAGTATTGGCCCCAGTGTCCAAGATGGCGGACATGCTGACCAGGGGGAGCTGTTCAACTCTCTCCCCTGATCTGAGGACTACTGGGTGCTGTTATGCCCCACTATGTTCTCTTCAACACTACCTCCTTTGACTAGCGATCTCATTCCTTCATTCTCATTCCAGATATCGACGAGTGTACCATCATGAATGGTGGCTGCGATACCCACTGCGCCAACTCAGAGGGTAGCTACGAGTGTAGTTGTAGTGAGGGGTACGCCCTCATGCCTGATAAAAGGTCATGCACAGGTGAGGAACGTATCTACCTGGTCCACCCATTGACGCCATGGTCATGTTTCGTTTGGGACGAACCCCAGAGGATGCTAGATGTGTGGGACAAGCATTTCAGAGGTCTTCTTCACGTTTCTGATTGATGGGCGGCATCATCCCACTCTGTGTGAGGCTTCTTTGTGTGTGTGAGAATTTTTGTGAGTGTGTGTGTGTGCTTGTGTGCCTGGAAGTCATGGTGACTTCTGGTAATTCCCAGTGAGGCTAGGACATCTCAGAGAGGTGGCTTGATATTACCTGCCTCTGCGTCCCGGCCCTGGTATTCCTGGGAGGTCTCCCTTCCAAGTACTTGCCAGGTTCATACCTGCTTAGCTTCCAAGAACTGACAAGATTGGGCTTGCCTGGGCTGTGCAAGTCAGGGCAAACCAGGGAGTTTTTGTGTTCCTCTCTGTTTCGGCAGCCCCTTTCGTCCCCTGGAAGGAGCATCCCCAGGTTCATCGGACCCAGTCGGAGGAATAATTTACTTTTGCTTTATCTATATCCCACCTTTCTATCCTAATACGGACCCAAAGCGGTTAGCATCATTCTCCTCTCCTCCATTTTATCCTCACCACAAGCTCAAGATGTACACTTGTTTTGTGTGTACAAGAAAATATTTTAATATTTGAATTTTTAAATTAAATATTTAATATTTTAAATTTTTGTGAGTTTTAAAAGGTCTGCTATGAACAGAGCTTCTGCCTGAAATGTTAGAAGACCCACTGTCCAAGCTATGCCTAAGCGCACTTCCGGACCTCACTGGCAGCCTTTTTCTTTACTTACTTACTTTACTTATACCCCTGGCCCTTCTCCCCAGTGGGGACCCAAAGCGGCTTCCATCCTTCTCCTCCCCTCCATTTTATCCTCACCACAAGCTCAAGATGTACACTTGTTTTGTGTGTACAAGAAAATATTTTAATATTTGAATTTTTAAATTAAATATTTAATATTTTAATTTTTTTGTGAGTTTTAAAAGGTCTGCTATGAACAGAGCTTCTGCCTGAAATGTTAGAAGACCCACTGTCCAAGCTATGCCTAAGCGCACTTCCGGACCTCACTGGCAGCCTTTTTCTTTACTTACTTACTTTACTTATACCCCTGGCCCTTCTCCCCAGTGGGGACCCAAAGCGGCTTCCATCCTTCTCCTCCCCTCCATTTTATCCTCACAACAACCCCATGCAGTAGGTTAGGCTGAGAGAGTGTGACCGGGCCAAGATCACGCCAACGCTTAAGTGGCAAAGTGGAGATTCGAACCCGGGCTTCCCAGATCCTAGTCTGACACTTTAATCACCACGCCGTGTGGGCTGGGTGGACTGCAGTGAAGAAGGACAAGGGGGTGGAATCCCTCCATGTTCTGCAAGCACAGCTGCACTGAGAACATGGAGGAGGAGGAGAAGGAGAAGGAGGAGGAGGAGGAGGAGGAGAAGGAGGAGAAGGAGAAGGAGAAGGAGAAGGAGAAGGAGAAGGAGAAGGAGAATTGGATTTATATCCCAAGTTTTACTCAGAGTCTCAGGAAGGTTACAATCTCCTTCCCTTCCTCTCCCCACCACAGAACAAATTTTGAGTCCGGTGGCACCTTTGAAACCAACAAAGTTTTATTCGAAGTGTAAGCTTTCACATGCAAAAAAACCACTTATTCAGACAAAACTGGAATGAAATCTCAAAAGCTACTTACAGGGGGAAAGGGGGAGGGGTTTAAGTCATTAGGAGAGGCCACTCAGAGCCCAGGTTGCATCTGCAGAGCTGAAATTGGAATGAGTGTCTGGTAGGATCAATGGCTGGCAGCACATTAGCACGCAAAGGCAGGCGTTAACAAAGAGATGCCCCCCCCCCTGAATGTCCTGGGAGATTGAGATGTTCCCCTACAGGTTTCTCAGTTTTTGTGATTCTTGATGTCGGTATCTGGGGGCATTTGAGTGGCTAGCCGGGCTCCCAAATGTGTGCATATTTGTGAAGTGGGACTAACACCACAAGAAACAACAATCGTTTCTCTTGCTGCTGTCATCCAGATATCGACGAGTGTGAGGATAACCCGGATATCTGCGACGGAGGCCAGTGTACCAACATCCCAGGGGAATATCGGTGCCTCTGCTTTGATGGATTCATGGCTTCCCTGGACATGAAGACATGTATTGGTAAGGGAAAAGGCCAGAGAGCCATGCGGCTACTTAATGTAATGGGTAGAGATTTGTAAAAGTCTGTGGTATGGGTCACCAGATATTTGAGGCAGCAGCAATTCATCTATATTGTCCTCCCTGGATATATTCATCTATATTGGCCTCCCAGATATTTGAGGAGGTGGCAATTCATCCGTATTGGCCTCCCCTGCTCTGCCCTGCTTTATTCCATCATAGCCGATTTTCTCCCCCACCCATTTGCTCTGCAGTGTTCCACCTATGGTAGGGGTGTCAAACATGTGGCCCGGGGGCCGGATGAGGCTCCCAGAGGGCTCCTATCAGGCCCGCAGTGGAACTGCCTGTCTTCTGCTCAGCCCCATAGCTAGGGAATTGTTTGGGAGGGGGCCTCGGGGGGGCCCCCGCCAGCTAATTAAATGAAAGTACGGTGAAGGTGGTAAGTTGGAGCACTTTGGGGGCAGCCCAGGAGGGAGGTGGCCCAGAAGAAACACTAGGGGACCAGGCCCCGTGGGCCCCGTGTTAGATACAGGCCAGCTTCTGCTTCTGCTTCCAGTTCTGCTGCTGCTGCTGCATCATTGTAGGTTTGCAGCTTTACAGATACACACCTGAACAGCACACAAGACTGCAACAGCACAGACATTTTGATGCAATAATTCAGAGCAAGAGGTGTCAGTTATCAGACACTGTTAAATAAACAAAATATTGCAAGAGTGCTAATGTTTTAAGCATGTTTTTATGTTAAGTAAAAAAGCCACCTTTGTGTTTGTGTCCTTTATAAAGTTTATATCTCCGCTACTTGGCATTGCATTTTATGACACACATGGCCCAGCCCAACAAGGTCTCATTTATGTCAGATCCGGCCCTCATAACTGATGAGTTCGACACCCCTGATCTACGGTTACCCACAGTCAGGATCCCTTGGGGCATCTAACTGCGCAGCCGACGCCATCAAATGTTTTAGAATGTTTTAGTGATGTTTGTAAATGGATTCATAAATAATTTTATAGATTTTATTAAGGTTGTGTTATATTTCAGCTATGTTGTGTGTTTGATTGTGTTGTAACCTGTCCTGAGCCTGTTGCGCAAGGGAGGGAGGGCTAGAAATTAAATAAAGAAATAAGTAATCTATTTACTTTTCTTGTTGAGGTTCAAGGCAAATTACAGAATACAGGACAGTGCAGTCAGACAGCATAAAACAACCAAAGAACAAGGCGGCAGAATTAGGATCACAGGATTAGCGAACAATGCAAACAAAACTACCAGAGGAAAGGTATACTATAAACAAGGGGTCCCCAGCCTTTTTGAGCCTGTGGGTACCTTTGGAAGTTGACACAGCATGGTGGGTGCATAGGGTTACCAGGTCTTACCTGCGTCCCGGTGGGGGGCTCCAGCCCAGCTCCCGGGGTCTTCTGGCACGCGTGATGAAATCACCCGGAAGTGACATCATCATGCCGGGCATGTCGTTCAGGAAACACTCTAGCATTTGGGTAAAAACTCTATAGTCACCATAGAGTTATTACCCAAATGCTAAAGCATCCCCCTCACAATGTGCCCGGCTGGCTGGTGGCGGATTGGGGCCCCCAAAAGCAGGTAATCCCCCACCCCCATCAGGGGGATGGCAACCCTATGGGTGCAAACATAAAATGGCTGCCACAGGAGGCGGAGCCAGCCATACAATGGCTTTGGTCACACCATAAGGATCCTTGTGTTGTGGTGGCAGCTGCCACTAAGCCATCTGTGCAGCTAATCAGATCTCGAGTAGCCAATCGGAAGACTTGCTGGGCAAAACCTCCACTTGGCCTCACCCACTTTCTAAAAACACTTGGTAAAAAGGTTTCCCTTGCTCGAAAGCCAGTCGAATACGACTCTAGGGGTGCGGTGCTCATCTCAGTTTCCAAGCTGAAGAGCCAGCGCTGTCCGAATACGTTTCTGTGGTCGTGTGACCGGCATGACTAAACGCCGAGGCACACGGAACGCCGTTACCTTCCCACCGAAGCAGTACCTATTTATCTACTTGCTTTCGAACTGCTAGGTTGGCAGGAGACAGGAGCTCACTCCGTCACATGGTGCTAGGGTCTCGAACTGCTGAACTACAGACCTTCCGGTCTGCAGCTCAGTGCCTTAACCTCTGAGCCACCAGCAAAGGTATTGGTGGGCACCATAGCAGCCAGGGACACCCTGTTGGGGACCCCCTGCTATAAACAATACAGAAAGAATTGTAAGTTATAAGACAATGCAATAAAAGCAAGTATATACCTGCAAGAATCATTCGCTGTGATCCTCTTCCATTATAAGCTGCCCTTTTTATTTGCGAGGGGAAAGTGACGTAGCAGGGATGATATTTAAGTGTCAGTGTACAAAATCGCAGATAGAGGAGTGTATTTCCCAGGTGTCCAGCATTACGAAAGACATGCACAGAGAGAGCGTTGAAACAGAAGGGTTTTGAGATGATGAACCCGTGGGAACACTCACGAGTGGTATTCGGGGGACAAGGGGTGTCACTGGCAGCCCCGGATTTGGGCGAGGGTTCTTCTGAATGCACATGTCTTTTCCATGCAGACGTGAATGAGTGTGACTTGAACCCCAACATCTGTTTGCACGGGGACTGCGAAAACACCAAAGGGTCTTTCATCTGCCACTGCCAGCTTGGTTACTTCGTCAAGAAGGGGACAACCGGCTGTACAGGTGGGTAAGATCTGGGGTGGGATGCGGGAATCGGGGTTCTCTCACCTGGATATGGAGGCCCGAGACTTCCACTGTTATTGCCCACACCCAGCAATCGGTGTCCACAGCCTCTGAACATGGAGGTCCCGTACAGAGCCAGAGGGTGCTAGAAGCCTCCGGCTGGTGATGAGAGCTGTTCTGTAGGGCACACCAAGAAAGGGGGCAATCTAACCTTTGGGGTGAGAATAAGATAACTGAGCAGGAGATGCAAAAGATCTCTATAATACTGTGAGCAGACTGGTGGGAGGAGAGAGCCAGAATGTCCAAAGGGCTCTGCTGGAACAGGCCAAAGGTCCATCTAAAGAACAGTATTCTGTTACCAGCATTGGCTAGCCAGATGCTTCTGGGCAGACCTTGAGCTGCACTGAAAGGCAACAACCATCCCCTGTTTCTTCCCCAGTTTTTGTTGTGTGTGTCCCCTTCGGTCACACCATGAAGATCCTTGTGTTGTTGTTGCAGCTGCTGCTAAGCAACATTTTTCTGTGCAGCCAATCAAATCTCTAATAGCCAATCGGAAGCGTTGCTGGGCAAAACCTCCACCTGGTATATTGCTGCTGCGCACGGAGATTCCATTTAAGGTGTTGGGCCTAATAGCTAGTAGTAGGCGTCCTCCACCACCAAAGCGTTGCATGATTCCCCTGCTGAGGCCATCTAATCCAATAGCCTTCACTGCCTCCTGTGGCAGGGAATTCCATAGGCTAACTCAGTGTTGTTTATACCAACCTTCATGGGGCTTGAGTCCATTCTATGGAACTGGCTGGTGGGAGGTTCAGCTAAGGAAGCATTTTTTAATATGTGTGTGCATGTGCGCACGCAAAGTGCCATCAAGTCACAGCCAAATTATGACAACCCTGTAGGGTTTTCAAGGCAAGAGACTCACCAAGTGGGTTTGCCATTGCCTGCCTCTGCATAGAGACCCTGGACTTCCTTGGTGGTCTCCCATCCAAATACTTACCAGGGCCAACCCTGCTTAGCATGTTTCCCCGCATGTTCCCCCAAGGGCACTACAGTCGGGGACCCAAAATCTCCTGGATATTCCAGGCCCCAGGAACATCAAACTCGCTGCGGCCAGGGCGTTTTCGGTGGTGGCTCCTACCTGGTGGAACGAGCTCCCAGAAGAGATCCGGGCCCTGCGGGACCTTGGGCAGTTCCGCAGGGCCTGTAAAATGGAGCTCTTCCGCCAGGCCTTTGAGTAGGAGCCGCCGCCACCATTATTCCACCAACGCTTTTCCCATCACCGCACCCTTACCACCGCTGGCGCGGGTACCATCGGGGGTGCGAGACATACCTGGCGGATGATAGGGTTGTGGGGACATGTGGTTGTTGTATTGTTATAACAGCTGCAGAACACCATCTTGATTTTATGAATTGGAGTGAGTAGTGGAGCACCGATATTTTATTAATTGTATTATGTTGTATATTGTATTGTACTTATTGTTTTTATTAGGCATTTATGCCCTTGTTAGCTGCCCTGAGCCTTCGGGGCGGGTGGGCTACAAATCTAAAGAATAAATAAATAAATAAATAAATATAAATAGCTTCCGAGATCTGACGAAATCGGTCTAGCCTGGGCCATCCAGGTGAGGGAAACAGTGCCCAGTTAATTTTTTGATATAGTACCCATTTAACTGATGGCGCTCATGCGCCCTTTGCCCAAAACTCACCCTCCCCTCTCCTTTCCAGATATCGATGAGTGCGAGATCGGGGCACACAACTGTGACATGCACGCTTCCTGTATCAACATCCCCGGGAGTTTCCGGTGCAAGTGTCGGACCGGATGGCTGGGCGAAGGCCTCAAGTGCAACGGTGAGTGGGCAGAGCCAGAGAAAAGGCCAAGACGGCTAGTGGTTCGGTTTATTGGTTCGCGTAGGCACTTTCACACGCGCTGAATAATGTAGTTTCAGTCTACTTCCAGTGTACTTTAGGGACCGTAAGCAATTGGATTTTGCCATTCTTGCCATAAAATCCAGTTGCAGAGTGCACTGGAAGTGGAGTGAAAGCACATGATTTGGCATGCATGAAAGTGCTGATATGCAAACTCAGCTTTTCTCCCCAGTGGGGATTCCAAGTGGCTTGCAATTTCATTCCTCCACATTTAATCCTGACAACAATCACCTTGTGAGGTAGGTTAGGTTGAAAGAGAGGGACTGGGCCCAGGTCACCCAGCAAGCTTCCATGGCAGAGCAGGAATTCGAACCAGGGTCTTCAAGATCCACTCTAACCACTACAGCACACTACACTACACTAGAAGCAACGGGGGGGTGGAGCTCATGGTTAGCAGGTTGTGCAGTGCCTTCAGAGGCATTTTTATGGGGTTGTTTTGAAGGGGGTGATCTGAGATGAAGCTGTGCCCCAGCGCTGATTTGAAGTGTCAGGTTCCAGTCTTGAAACGTGTGAAAGAAGGGAAAGCAACAATGCCTCTGAGCACATGCAAAGTGCTACACTTCCTTCATTAAGCTCCTATATATCCTTTCCATCTCCAAAACAGATTTCAGGGATTAAATTTAAAAGTCTAGTTCTCACTGAGGCTGGTTTAAAAAAATAATAAATCTAGTAGAAATCTAGTATATAAAAGAAGATGCTAAGCTAAAACAGTTTTCAATGATGTGCTAGATTTCTGTAAACAGGGATTATTAATCTTCCCCCATATAAAATACTTCTTGTACGTAAAAGATAGAATGTCAACAGAAAGGCTAAGCTATGGGCTTTTGTGCATTCTCATTTTCAGCATGTGTTTTGCTCCCTCTAGTGGACGATTTGATATTATACTGGGTTATGTCCAGCAGATCTCCTTGCAGAGATTTAAACTGCAGGTTTTTATGCTGGACATAAATGGGTGTAATATTGAATTGAACACTAGAGGGAGCAAAAGACATTTGGAACACAGAAAAAAGCCCCTGAATAAACAGGAATTTACGAGCAAGGAAAATGAGAACGATGAAAAGCCCTGTGACTTTATTCACTGCCATGCTAGTTCTCCATTTGCAGGGAGTACAGTTCTTCTCCATGCACAAATATTTCCCGAACATAGAAAGTTAGGCTGTTACTTAGCCTGCTCCCTGATCCTCTGGTTTCTAAGTGCAAGGATTTCGTTTTTGTGTTGAAATTGCCTCCACACAGAAAAGCAGAGCGTCAGGGAGAAGGCTAGGTTGGAGTCTTCTTCTTTCTACATGCAGGGATGCCTCCTCCGAGTGTGTGAATTTGCTGCATAAGGGTGTAATCTGGGTGCCTGTGTTTGAGTCTACTTGACTCTCTCTCTCCCCCTCCCTCCCTCCCTCCCTCCCTCCCTGGGGCAAGAGGGATAACCATATACACTGCCCAGAGCTCCTTTGAGAAAGGGTGGAATAAAAACCCCCCCCCCCCCCAGACCTGGACGAGTGTGCCACGGAAGCACATAGCTGCAACTTGAATGCCAATTGCCTGAACACTCCAGGATCATACCGCTGTGCCTGCCGGGAAGGTTTCAACGGAGATGGGTTCTCCTGCTCAGGTACATTTGCTTTTTTCCCCCCCATTTGGACCCCAAGTTGGGGTGAAGGCACAGGATTTGCTTAGAAGGATAAAAAGGATAACCCTTAGCTGATTCTAAGCAGAGGAGGGAAGCAATGGTCAGGGCCAGGGTCAGTGGGATGTTTGCAAAATTCACTGGACACCTGCCCCTGGAGAACTGCTGGCTGGAGGAGACCACAGACAGGGCCGGCCCCAGTTTATTTTGCACCCTAGGCGAGGATCCCTTCTGATGCCGCCGCCCCCCCCCCCGGTGTGCCCACCATTTTTCAAAAATAAATGCATTTTAGGAAGAATGAAAAACACAAATAATCAAGAAACTCCCAGAGTAGTTTGGTGCCCCTAAGGACCAGCCCACTCTAGGCGATCACCTAGTTCGCCTAGTGAGTAAGCCAGCCCTGACCACAGATGGGAGATTCACCCAGCAGCCTATAATCCTCCTGGCCTGGGAAACCAGGCCATGCAGGAGTGCCACTCTGATACCACCGTCAAGTCTAGAAGCCTCTCAGGAATACTCACTTCCTCAATCTGGGCACATTGGCCTGGGAGGAGGCTATTGGGTCCCCTTTTGTGCACCAGACTTGCCTGCTGTCTCCAATCTGCCTCCCCCCCCCGGTACTCCCCCCACCCTCAGCCTGAGCCCCTGGCTTATAGAAGAGGCAGGGGCCAGGGTGAGACTTGTGGCTCACCAGCTCTGTTGGGTGGTTCACCACAGGGGAATAACCGTCTGCCTAGCAGGTCATCATTCCTGGCTGGTGAGCAGTCTTCTCACGGTGGAGGTGGGTAGACACTCTTGGGCTCTAAATGAAGCTGCTCACGTTGGTGCGAGTGTCCCAGTCAAATGCCCCGAAAGGTTGACTGAGTGTCTTGGGAATGATAGGCTGTTTCCGAAGGTTGTGCGTGGACACATGCATAATGAGAGAGAAGAAGAAGAAGAAGAGATTGGATTTATACCCCACGGCCCTTCACTACCCAAAGGTGTCTCAGAGTGGCTCACAGACTCCTTCCCCTCCCCCTCCCCACAACAGGCACCCTGTGAGGTGGGTGGGCCTGAGAGAGCTCTTGACAGAAACGGCTCTTTTTTTTCAAGAACAGCTGTGCCAGAACTAAGGCTTGCCCAAGGTCATCCAGCAGGTGCAAGTGGAGGAGTGGGGGAATCAAACCCGGGTCTCCCAGATTAGAGTCCGCGCACTTAACCACGACACCAGACTGGCTCTCGCTGGAGGTGCCTGCCCCCCACCTGCCTGCCCGTGCCGTCCTACCATAGAATCATAGAGTTGGAAGCAGGCCCGTAGCTAACATGGGGCCCATGGGGCCCGCCCCCCTGCTGTTTTTGCGGGCCCCTCCCTCAATACTCAGGGGCCCCCCGCTCCAGCCCATTAACCCGCTGATCGATTGCCTCATGAATATGAGCCGGCATCTCCCTGTTTGAGCTCATCGGCAATCAGCTGAGTCTCTTTAGGACCCAACAGCAACTGGTGGTTGACCGAGTCACACACACATTGGTCGGATTGCAGCAGTTCACTCCTCCTGTTGCATTTTCTGCCAGGTTTCAAATCCTCGGCTCAGGGAAGGCGTGAGGGAGGAAGCTTGATCCCCGCTCTCCTTTTTAAAAAAAAAAAAAAAAACAGCCGCTTTGCTAGCCCGCCGCGGGAGATGAAGTCGCGAGGAAGGAAGCTTGATCCCCGCTCTCCTTTTTAAAAAAAAAAAAAAACACGGCCGCTTTGCTAGACCTCCGAGGAGCCTTAGTGTCTATAAACACTAGGGTTCTGGCTCGCCTCGGAGGAAGGCTCTAGTGGGGGCTGTGTGGGTACGCACCAAGCAGGCCCCCCTTCCCCAGGAGCCTTTGATGTAATTAGATGGTGGCCACCCCAAGGCCCCCTCCCCCCCAAAAACCTAGCTACAGGGCTGGTTGGAAGGGACCTCCCCCCCCCAAACTCCCAGTGACCGCTGTTCCACACCCCGAAGATGGCAAAAACCTCCAGTCCTTGCCCCTCCCCAAACCACAAACCTTAACCTTTGCAAAGGGTAACTTGCTACGGAGAATGTTGTTCCCCATTCCAGGGCCTTCCTTTCCTGTAAAATTACTCTTCTCAGTTTATCCCAACATGACTTTTGACCACGGTGAATAGAAATTGTCACTTATTTATTTTTTGCAGCTTCCTAATTTCAGTCCAATAAATTCTGAGCATGTATCGACAGAGGCAACCGGCCTGCTGTCCGCTTGATGACGAACACTGTAACCTATGCCGGTGTAAACACATTCGCAATGCTGCTTGCTTTAAGTAGCAAAGAAATGGGCAATTCGAGGGTTCAAGATGCTCGGCTGGAGGGGAAAGGAGCATAGCGAGCAGCATAAGATCAATTTATGAGCATGTTATACTGCAGCATCATCGCAAGTCGTTAAGTTGCTGGGTGTTGCGATAATCTGATTTGGTGCACAAATTGGTCCAGTTTACAATGCCCGATGTATTGCACATTGAGGGGTTTTTTCCCCCTCCTCCCTGAGGATCTTCTGTGGCTTGGAATGTAAAATGAGATTCTGCAGATGCTTTCAGGCCAGCCAGGCGGTTTTTCAGGTGCTTATTGGGCGAGGAAGAACTTCTTGTTGAACAATTCGGCAGATTAGACTGAAAATATTTCTGTGTTTCTCTTCTCTTCTCTTCTCTTCTCTTCTCTTCTCTTCTCTCTGCTCTCCTCTCCTCTCCTCTCCTCTCCTCTCTTCTCTCTCTCTCTGTCCAAATCCTGGGCAATAGCCACAGCTCAGGCAGAGAAGTTTTAAAAAAGTAATCTGAGAATGTGCAGCGAATCTATGCACCACCACGACAGCTTCGTTCATCTGAGCAAGTCCAGCAGCTGCCAACCTGCAAATGGGCAAAACCAACAACTGCCCGTACACGTGGCCTTCTCCGTTGTGGCCCCCGCCTCGTGGTCTGGCCTGCCTGTGGGGGTCAGAAAGGCTCCCCCTCTCCTGGCTGTGCACAAACCTTGCAAAATTCAAGAGGGCTTTTCTACACAGGCAACAGGGCTGCAGTGTCCAAAATGATTCACAAAGTGACTTGGATAAATTTTTAAGGACTGTGCTTAGCTTGTTGAAACTATGATTTTTGCTTCATTTAATGTGTCAGGTGTATACGTCTGCTTTGTTTCAGTTCTGTAAGACTTCTGATTGATTCTGAAAGCCTAATCCTGTTGTATTGTCTACTGAAATGCCCTATGCTGCTGATTATATTAGAATCATAGAGTTGGAAGGGACCTCCAGGGTCATCTAGTCCAACCTCCTGCACAATGCAGGAAATTCACAAGTACACACCCCCCCACACACACCCCCAGTGACCCCTGCTCCATGCCCAGAAGATAGCAAAAAACCTCCCTCCATGATCCCCGGGCAAACTGGCCTGGAGAAAAATTGCTTCCTGACCCCAAAGTGGTGACCAACATTTCCCTGGGTGTGTAAGAAAGGGCCACGAGAACCAGGGCTATTTTGGGGCAGGAATTTTTTGGACAGGAATGCACAGGAAGGGAGTTCCGGCTGGCTCCTGAATTTGCCACGCCCAGCAGGAACTCATTAGCATAATAAAACACACCCAACAGCAGAAACTCATTAGGATTGGCTACATTAGGGGCCTAGCATACAAAGGAGTTCCTGCTACAAAAAAAGCCCTGGGTTTTGACCACAAACAAGGTAAACAGAATAAAAAGCAAAAGGTGGGTGTGGCTGGATGACCACACTTCTGGTAGCATGGGGGTGTGGCCTAATATGATAATGAGCTGTGTTGTCGGGGTGTGGCATAATATGCTAATGAGTTTCTGCTGTTGGGTGTGGCCTATTATGTTAATGAGTTCCTGCTGGGCTTTTTCTACAAAAAAAGCCCTGACGAGAACTAAGCACTGAGGCAACCTGTCCTGCCTTCCCTTCTTGTGATCTGCCTGAGTCCACAGAATCCGCATTGCTGTCCGATGGCCACCTAGCCTCTGTTTGAAAATATTGACTTACCCTTGAGTCCGAGTGAGGAACGCAGACTATAAATAATGTAAATAAACAAACACATGAATATCACAAGCTGAGATGCAAATCTCAGGGGGAAAAGCAAGCTATTCTTTTCCTGCGTGTTCTTGGAAAAACCCATAGATATTGAGCTAATTCTGAACTAAGCCAATCACGGGCAAGAGCTTTTCAGCCAATGACAGGACCTGATCTTTCCTCTTCTTGTGCACCTCGACAGATGTGGACGAATGCGCAGACAACATCAACCTCTGCGAAAATGGGCAGTGTCTCAATGCCCCTGGCGGCTACCGTTGCGAGTGCGAAATGGGCTTCAATCCCACAGAGGACAGCAAGGCCTGCCAAGGTAAGGGGGAGTCGCCCCATCCTGAAGCTCTCGGAAAAGATGTGACCCGCAACTCAGCTCTCCGAAGCTCCTGTTGGGTCATTTGAGGGAGCACAAGACCTTTGGGTGTCAGAGGATGATGGGATTTTAGGAGCAAACGTTACGGGCAGGATAGGAGAGCGAAGCAATTAAGGGAGGAGACCGGGGAGGACTGTGAGGGCCTGGTCTGCCCCATGTCCATATTTTCTCGTGAACTTTGCCTCGGGGAGCGAGGGGGAAGGTCATGTTAAAATGATGCCAATGTAAGTCCCTAGCACTGCTAGATAACTCCTTCTCCAGGATCTCTCAATTAAATCTCTGAGCAGGGAAGGGTTTTCAAGGCAAGAGACTTACAGAGTTGGTTGGCCATTGCCTGCCTTTACACAGTGACCCTGTAATTCCTTGGAAGTCGCCCATCCAAATACTCACCAGGGCCAACCCTGCTTAGCTTCCGAGATCTGACGAAATCGGTCTAGCCTGGGCCATCTGGGTCAGGGAAATAGTGCCCAGTTAATTTTTTGATATAGTACCCAGTTAATTTATGATGCTCATGTGCCTTTTGCCCAGAACTCACCCTCCCCTCTCCCTTCCAGATATTGATGAGTGTGAGATCGAGGTGCACAACTGTGACATGCAAGCTTCCTGCATGCGTGCATGTTAATGTTTGTGCATGAATGCTAAGGGGCTGAGCAGTGCTCAACCCTGTCATATCATGGCTGGCAACCAGTAGGAGGATGGGTATACATGCAGTAATGGTGTCACAAGACATTGTTTCTGGCTGGAACCAGAAGTGATGTCACCACATTGTGCAATGCTCTAGGAATTTCCCACATCTCTATGGTAAAAGCCGTAGAGACCAGAGGGGATTCCTAGAGCATCATGCAGTGTCACTTTTGGGTTTTTTTCTGGCCATTTGCATAGTTGTTCATGTGACACTGTTTCCCCTTGCATTTCCACTCCCTACTGAGCACTGTGTTACCAGGGCTCTTTTTGTAGCAGGAACTCCTTTGCATATTAGGCGACACACCCCTCATGTAGCCAATCCTCCAAGAGCTTGCAGAGCTCTTCTTACAGGGGCGACTGTAAACTCTTGGAGGGTTGGCTACGTTAGGGGTGTGTTGTGGGTAGGGTTGTCAGGTCCAATTGTCGCACCAGAGAGGCGATTGGGGCGCATTCCAGGATTGGTTGAGGATGCCGTGCAATGTGGATATGTCACCTGGAAGGGATGTAGACATGCCGGTAACATTGAGGGCATTGCTTTGGTTTTGGGGCAAAATGTTATGGTAAAATCACCCTCAAACAATAGAGTTTTGCCCAAAACCCAGAGTGTCACCCCTGAACATCACCAACATTCCTGTGTCACTTCTGGGTGACGCCAGAGTGTCGCAAATAATGTCGCTGTTTGGGGGGTCCAATTTCCTCCCCCTGGCCAGCTGGATGCTGGTGGGCAGGAGCCCGTGAAAGCGGGGGATCCTTTGCCCCCACCTGGGGAATGGTAACCCTAGTTGTGAGGTATTAATTGCCGAGACCGTAACCTGTGTAACCTTAAACAAGAAAATAAATGTATCAAATTAACAGAAAGAGAATCAAGTTAAGTCAGGTGAATAAAAACAGAGGCGCTACAGAAAGGACATAAATGCATATGTGAAGTACAAACACAGGGGTGTCAAACTTGTCGCTTGGGGCCGGATCAGGCCCCCGGAGGGCTTCTATCAGACCTGCAGTGGAACTGGCTGTCTTCTGCTTCTTCTTCCAGTTCTGTTGCTGCTGCGTCATCGTAGGTTTGCAGCTTGCAGATACACACTTGAACAGCACACACAAGATTGCAACAGCACAGACAGTTTGATGCAATAATTCAGAGCAAGAGGTGTCAGTTATCAGACACTGATAAATAAACAAAATATTGCAAGAGTGCTGATGTTTTAAGCATGTTTTTATTTTAACTAAAAAACAACCCCTTTCTGTTTGTGTCCTTTATAAAGTCTATATCTCCACTACTGGGCATTACATTTTATGACACACATGGCCTGGTCTCATTTATGTCAGATCCGGCCCTTATAACAAATGAGTTCGACACTCCTGGCTTAAACCCTTTCCCTAACAAACTACCTGCTACTAAGGGAGGAAAGAGGAGACTCAAAGACATACAAGCCTGCTTCCTGAAGACCGCTGGGCAGCTCTGGAGAGGCGCAGGAGAACAGGGTGGAGAAGGGTGGAAGGAATGAGAAATGAACCACACAGTTGGGGTGACAGAGTGGGATCCAAAGCCTGCTACAAATTGGATGACCTGAGAGATGCCTTTTTATACATTTTTGCTAAGATGGAGGAAGGGGAAAGGTGTTGGCATTGGAATGTGGGAGGAATGAGAAGTCCATCTCTCCAGAGATGAGCTAATTTGAAAAGAGTATCTTTGGGTGCACTGTGGAAGTGCATTTTTTCTTCTTTTGCATTACAAGTAAGAGTATCAAGGAGAAGTGTTCCTTTAGGGGGATTGAGAGTTCTAGATAGGCTAGTAGATGGTCGAGTCCTTTACATGATGGAGCAGAGGTAAGAAGCACTTAAGACCAGGAGGGAATGGCTGGGGCTGGCCCGTTGCTCATTGTCTTGATTATTTGGATCATTATTCAGGCCAGATTATCAGGGAGGAAACCCCACACGTCCTGGAGGAAAAGGCCCTTCGGTTGACTCCCACCAGATATGGCTTTCATATGACTAATGGAGGAGTCGCTTCACGTTCCTTGCACGCCATCAGTGTGACTCACCATCATTTTGATGTCAGTTTGATCCAGACTCCATTTTTCATTTGTAAACCCACACTAAGATGTACAAGTATAAGCTTTCCTTGCTCGAAAGCCAGTCGAATCTGACTCTAGGGTTGCGGTGCTCATCTCCGTTTAACATAAGAACATAGGAGAAGCCAATGTTGGATCAGGCCAAAGGCCCACCCAGTCCAACACTCTGTCACACAGTGGCCAAAAATACCAGGTGCCATCAGGAGGTCCAGCAGTGGGGCCAGGACACTAGGAGCCCTCCCACTGTTGGCCCCCCCAAGCACCAAGAAGACAGAGCATCACTTGCCCCAGAGCCCCTATCTATACCTTGTGGCTAATAGCCACTGATGGACCTCTGCTCCATATGCCTATCTAATTCCCTTTTGAAGCCATCCATGCTTATAGCCGCCACCACTTCCTGTGGCAGTGAATTCCATGTGTAAGTGAATTCCGTTTCCAAGCCAAAGAGCCAGCGCTGTGCAAAGACATTTCCGTGGTCGTGGCCGGCATGACTAGATGCCGAGGTGCACGGAACGCTGTTATCTTCCCACTGAAGTGGTACCTATTTATCTACTTGCAGTTTCTTGCTTTCGAACTGCTAGGTCGGCAGGAGCTGGGGCCAGAGACGGGAGCTCACTCCGTCATGCAGTACTCGGGTCTCGATCTGCTGAACTACCGACCTTCCGGTCTGCAGTTCAGTGTCTTAACCACTTGAGCCACCACAGCCCCTGTACAAGTATACAGTGATACAAAATGGAGAGTCTCCTGTGAGGGGGAGTCCCATGGCATCAACTGAAAGGAGAGACGGGGACTGCCGGCAGGGATCCCCACTGGAAGTGGACAAATGGCCACCTTCTTGGGGGGGGGGATAGTGACATCAAGGCACACCTGACTTCTGGCAATCCCGAGGGGTGTTCAAGGCAAGAGGTGTTCAAAGGTGATTTGCCATTTGGCCTGCCTCTGCATCACAACCCTGGTATTCCTTGGAGGTCTCCCATCCAAATACCAGCCAGGTTAGATTCTGAAAATCTAACAATCATTTAAGGAAACAGATGAGTAAATATGAATCACGTGTGACTTAACATCACACAAGGCTCCAAATGTTTCTTAAACATTCAATAGTATTCAGTACATGAAATACATGAAATACAATAGATAGGCTGGAGGTTTGAAGCTGATTGCAACGTACTTTATAAAGTTTCAAGAAATGGATGTTTTTGCTTTGCTTTGTGGACATTTGAAAGTCATTTTTTTTGGTCCATTTAAATTGTGAAATTTTCTTTTGGGAGTTTCAAAGACTAAATGTTAGCAGGGCTTTTTTTTGTAGAAAAAGCCCAGCAGGAACCCATTAGCATAATAGGCCACACCCAAGAGCATAAACTCATTAGCGTATTAGGCCACACCCCTGACAGCACAGCTCATTAGCATATTAGGCCACACCCCCATGTTACCAGAAGTGTGCTCATCCAGCCACACCCACCTTTTGCTTCTTATTCTGTTGACCTTGTTTGTTATCAAAACCCAGGGCTTTTTTTGTAGCAGGAACTCCTTTGCATGTTAGGCCGCCCACCCCTTAATGTAGCCAATCCTAATGAGTTTCTGCTGTTGGGTGTGGCCTATTATTCTAATGAGTTCCTGCTGGGCGTGGCCAACTCAGGAGCCAGCCGGAACTGCCCAAAAATAGCCCCGAGTGTTAGATATTGCTTCAAATCTCCAGCCTATTGTATTTCTTGTATTTCATATATTGAATACTGTTGAATGTTTAAGAAATATTTGGAGCCTTATGTGATGTTAAGTCACAGATTCTGAGATCTTGCAATGGTCAGGACAATGGCAACCCTACTAGCAAGATGTATTCTGAGCTGCTGATTAGGTTCTGCAGGGCAATTTTGAAAAGTCTAACGCCAAAGAAGAGACAGTTCCTCCGCTTCTAAATCTGTGGCACAGGCCTAATAGCAACCGGGGGCTGCTCAGGTAAGGTTCCTCGACCTGGAGAACTGGAATGTTCCGACGGCGCCCCTGCTTTCACGTCAGAAGCCCCGCTGCGGGCAGACGTACCTCCTCTGAAGCCGGCTTTCTTGCAGATATCGACGAGTGCACCTTCCAGAACATCTGCGTGTTCGGCACCTGCCAGAACCTGCCGGGCATGTTCCGTTGTGCCTGTGATGATGGGTACGAGCTGGACAGGAGTGGAGGCAACTGTACAGGTGAGTGAGGGCCACAGAGTGGACGGGATATCTGTGTGCAGGCAGGAGGCGTCGTGTTTCGCAGGTGAGCAAGCTGGTTCACTGGTGTCCCCGGCCAGGCAGCTACTAGGCTTGCCAAGTCCCCCCGGGGGGCGGGGAAACCCCCGCTCCAGAGGCCCATTCCCCACCGGCGGCGGATCGGGCCCCGGGGGGAGCCCCACCCCAACGTGCGCGTCACCCGGAAGTGCCGTGACGACGCCGGGCACGCTGGGGGCGGGGCCACGGTCCCCCTGCTGCGGCGCGACACCGGACTTGGCAACTCTAGCAGCTACAGAGATGGGCCATGTGTGTGTGTGGAGGGTCATCAGGCCTATTGACTGAAAGTTACACCCCCCAAAAAAAAATTAAGAGGGAAGAGAGGCTTAGCACTGGCCAGGGCGTTTTTGGCTCTGGCCTCGGCCTGGTGCGATGCACTCCCATCTGAGAGAAGGACCCTGCGGGACTTGTTACAGTTCCACAGGGCCCGTAAAACTGAGCTGTTCCACCAGACCATTGGTTGAGGTGACGGACGTTCAACCATCTTGGCCTCCCCTGCCCATAACGTCCGCCTCAGCTCCCTCTGATGCTGTTTAGCTCCGAGAGTGTCGACCGGGCGCGGTAGTAAAATAGAGTGCTATTAATTATCACCTGACTAACATCCCATAGGATGTTCTGCCTCAAGCTGTTTGGAGCTGTTTGCCTGGAGCTGTTTGTTTCAGTTGCCGTCGTGTTCTGATCGTTTTGGATTTGTTTTTTTTAAGTTTATGTTTTAATGTCATTATGTTTCTCATATGTTGTATCTGCCCTGAGCCCACTTTGTGGGGTAGGGTGGGATATAAGCCTAATAAAATATTTTTTTTTAAAGCCTATTGAAAACCACATGCAGTTGTTGAATATTTCAATTCCGGTTTGGATATTGATCTGCTGGGACTGCTTGCTGGTTAATTTGCTGTGATTCATAGTACTACTACTTTTCTGGGCAAGCAGGAAGTATTCTCGGGGTGGGGGGTGGGGACTGCTGCCCTTTGCTACCTCCCTGCTGAGCCCTGGTCTTGCCCACAACAGTCCATGCCGGCGCTGTGTTGCTCCAAACCAAGATTCTAGTCCTGAATGCTGAACGCCCACCTTGCTCCTCCATGGCCCCCTCTCTCCCCAGGTCCCTTGAGATCCCTTCTCCCCAGCCTGGTGTCGTGGTTAAGTGCGCGGACTCTAATCTGGGAGAACCGGGTTTGATTCCCCCACTCCTATACTCGCAGCTGCTGGATGACCTTGGGCAAGCCGTAGTTCTGTCAGAGCTGTCCTTAAAAGGACAGTTCTTGAGAGAACTCTCTCAGCCCCACCTACCTCATAGGGTGTCTGTTGTGGGGAGGGGAGGGGAAAGGAATTTGTCAGCCGCTCTGAGACTCCAAGTGAAGGGTGGAGTCTAAATCCAATCTCCTCCTCATCCTCCTTAAGAGCCAGTTTGGTGTAGTGGCTTAAGTGCGCGGACTCTAATCTGGGAGAACCAGGTTTGATTCCCCGCTCCTCCACTTGCACCTGGCTGGATGACCTTGGGCAAGCCATAGTTCTGATAAGAGCTGTCCTTGCAAAACAGCAGCTTCTGTCAAGAGCTCTCTCAGCCCCACCTCCCTCACAGGGTGTCTGTTGTGGGGAGGGGAAGGGAAGGGAAAGGAGTTTGTAAGCTGCTCCGAGACTCCTTTGGGTAGTGAAGGGCGGGGTAGAAATCCAATCTCTTCCTCTCCTTCTTCTTCTTCCTGCCACTGCTTTCTGGCCGTCTGCATCACTAGACCTCCTCTTCCTCCAGCCTTCCTTACATCATACTTCTCTGCTCTGCCACTGTCTCCCTCCCTCGTCCTTTCCCCTCTTTCTTTATTCCTCGGTTCACCAACAGCAACACACTGCCCACATGTAATCCATCTAAAACAGATGGCATACTCTCAAGGCAGGGATTGTCTCTCGCGTTTCCATGTCATATATGTCAGCGACAGTTGGTATTCTATCTGTATTGTTACTGGATTTTTTTCCCATTTTGGGATTGAAGCTTGTCCCGTGTTTTTATTCAGATTTTATGCGCCACATTTGTCCTCAAAGGGGTCTCATAGCAGCTTCCGTTGTTCTCCCCTCCACCATTTTATTCTCACGACCACCCTGTTTGGTAGGTTAGCTTGAGAGTGTGTGACTGGCCAAAGCTCACCCAGCAAGCATCCATGGCAGCATGGGGATTCAAACATGGGTGTCCCCCAGCAGGAGGGTTGGTGGGGGTAGCATCCTTGTCCCCAGCTCACCGTCTACCCAGCGGTTCGAAAGCTTCGGCGAGTAGATAAAATGGGTACCACTCCTTAGAGAGAGTGGGCACACTGAACCCCCCCCCCTCGTGGGGTGGAGTGGTGTTAGCCGGTGAACGGAAGTCCAGCTCACATGATGGAAAGCCTAGAGAGATCTTCTCGACGTGAAGAAAAGGCTGTAATGGGCCGTCCCATTGAAAGATTATTGTTGTTGTTGTTGTTGTTGTTGTATAAAAATTAAAAGAATGGTAGAATCATAGAGTGGGAAGGGACTTCCAGGGTCATCTGGTCCAACCCCCTGCACAGTGCAGGAAATCCACAAGTACCTACCCCTGTTCCATGCCCCTGTGACCCCTGTTCCATGCCCAGAAGATGACAAAAAACCTCCTGGGTCCCTGGCCAAACTGGCTTGTCTATTTACAAAAAGTTCTGACCATAGAGTTTCTGGTGATTCCTAGAGTGACCCTTGTCACTTCCAGCCTTATTTTCCTTTTTTGATTTTTCTCCCCACTACACCCACTTGGCCCCAGTTTCTGCCCACTGATCCACGTGTGCATCAGTGGCAAGGGTCACAGTAACCTGGAGGTCTCCCACTGTGAGTGCATGAATGAGATCCTAGTCCAAAACTCTAGCTGCTACACTGTAGCTTTTGTTCCTTAGACAGTCCCCTGTCCCTTTGTCGTAATGCACATGTGCACATTGATCAAGTGCTGCCAAGAATGGAGCCTTGATTTGAGTGCAGCTACGATTGCCTCTGGACTGTGGGGGGGCCCCTTTTACTGGTGTGCTCATGACTCACGTGAACATATCATCAAAAGACAAGCTGCCCCCCAAAAAATCTTGACAAACGATATGTACAAATGTCACAAATGGAGAAGCGGGGATGTGTCTGCTGCACGTTATTTTTATCATTGCGCCTATTTGCATCATAAACATGGAGGGGGGGAGAGACAAGGATAGCCGCAAACCACGGATGAACAACATTTGGAAAATAAAGAAGGGGGTTTTTTTGTTTTGGCTTGGGAAGCAAGAGCTGGTAAAGCAGAACACCACAATCGGGGGAGGAAATTCAAATGAAAATTTTAGGAGCTGTTAAGGAAGGGTATATTAAAACGGAATGCTTCACCCAAATTTTCAAACTGTTCCCTCCTTCAGACATCAACGAGTGTGCGGATCCAGTGAACTGCATCAACGGACTTTGCGTCAACACCCCAGGCAGCTATTTGTGCAACTGCCCCCAAGACTTTGAGCTGAACCCCACTGGAGTGGGGTGCGTAGGTAAGGGGGCGGTCCGGGGAGGGCTGTCAGGAGTAGCGGGACGGCACGTATCAAAGCCCAGACTGAGCTTCCTGGTGCAACTAGTCAGGACCAAGGCTCCCTCTAAGCTGTGGAGTCTTGTGAGCAAAAATTCTACTTGATGAGCTGCTGGCATTAAAGTTGTGAGCGAGCAATTTGGCTACTGCATAAATTTGTTTGCTCTGGACCCACCCTTCCTGAGTCGAGACAAAAATGTGTGAGTCGGAGGCTAAAAAACAGTGAACTAGCTCACACTAACTCATCTTAGAGGGAACACTGGGACTGGCTCTAAGGAACAGAAGCAGAGCCCTGCTGGATCAGACCAAAGGTCCATCTAGCCAACTTCCAGTTTGTCACAGTGGCCGGCCATGATGTTTCTGGGAAGCCCATGAGCAGGACTTAAAGGCCACAGCCAGAGTCTGGCACTTTGAGGTAGACTGCCTCAGAAAATGGAGGTTCCGTTTCACTGTTGCAAATAGCTTCCATGGATTTGCCTCCTCTACTAATAGAGCCCTTTCAGCTAATGATCACTGATGCACCTTGTGGCTGTGAGTTGTTCCACAAGTCAGTTCTGAGTTGCATGAAGAGGGACTTTCTCTTGTCCGCTCATCCATTTCACTAGGAACACACTGATTATTGTTTATTGTATGTGATGAGAAGGAACACGGAGTTCCCTCTAACCACTTTCTCCACACCATCCATAATTACGTAACCCCCTCTAGTCCCCCTGTACCCTTAGTTTTTTTTGTCATTATTCCCTGCATGTAGAAATCTAGCTTGTCAGGAAGAAACACCGTTCAAGTAAAATAAGTCCTGAACAGCCTCCTTTATTCCCCAGTAGCGCAGTTGTAGATCTCTTGCTTTGCCTAGGGTCCTAGATGCAGTTCCAGCATTTCCCATTAAAGGATCTCATGTCAGAAGACTGAAACAGATATTTCCGTGCCTGAGATACTGGTAGGCAATCCACAAAACTGGGCTGGGAGGCCCAATGGCTACACTTGTCTTAAATGTCTTTTGTGCCCCGTGTTTTCCCTTCTCCCAGACACCCGCGTTGGAAATTGTTTCCTGGATACTCAAGACCGAGGCGACGGCGGGATCTCATGCAGCGCAGAAATCGGAGTGGGGGTCACCCGGGCATCTTGCTGCTGTTCGCTGGGCCGGGCATGGGGTAACCCTTGTGAGCTTTGCCCCCCTGCCAACACCAGTAAGTACAGAGGGTAAATTTGCACGCGGATCATGCAGCTGTTGTTTGCCTTTTATTTGCTCTGCCTGTTTTTGCAAGGAACTGAAGCTGGGTTAAAAAGATAAGGGTAACTGTAGCTTTCCCCCGCCCCAAGATTTCGAACTGAACCCTCTTGGCCTGTAGGGGCAAGCCATGCTCTTGAACAACGAGCTCCACTGATAAAAATTAGCTCCCGCTGATCAATCAGCTAACATTTCCACAGACTGTTGTATGGATTAAACCAATTTCGAGGTTGCTGTTGGAAAGCAAGTACTGTAGAGTCACTGGCCAATCAGTCCTGGTTCAAGAGAACTCCTTTCTGACCCCCAGGGGTCATTTCCTGCCGGAGAGCCCCAGAGCGGTGCTCTGACAGTAAGAAGCCCAGGCCCCACCCCCTGGCCTTTCCTGGCCGCCGGCGGAGAGACTGGGGGGGGGATTTAAATCCCTGTGTTCCCTGCCCGATCTTCTCCAGGGGCACCTAGAGAAGATCGGGCCGGGAAGCCAGGCATGTCTGCCTCCCTGCCCTCCCCCTCTCCAGCCAGCCCACCGTTGCAGGTTGGCTGGGGAGGGGAAGGGGAGGCAGGCAGACGTCCCCTTTCCCCCTGAGCCTCTCCGCTTTTGCAGAGAGACTCAGGGAGGGGGGGATTTAAACTCATTTGCATATGCCTTAACTCATTTTAAACGTGGCTGCCCTTTGTCAGGGGGTGTGGCATATGCAAATGAGTTGCACAAATGAGCTCCTGCACCTCTTTTTCTAGGAAATGACCCCTGTGATGGGCACCTGAGCAAAGCCCATTGAACTCACCCATACCCAACAGCCTTTTTATTTCTTTTAGGTTCAAAATTGCACCCTGCAACATTTGAAAAGGGAAGGACAGGAGAGGAAAGGAAGGAGAAAAAGGGGAGGGGAGGGAAGAAAAGGGAATGAATGAAAGAAAACTGTATCTAGAAGAAACAGAATTGAAGAACGAAAGTGGCAAAGGGAGGAATTGGGGTTATAGGGAAGAACAGAAAAGGAGAGAGACGGGCAGGCAGACCTGGCTTTGAATATCTGTGTTTCAGGCTAGGACATTAGCAATTAATTTCAGGGGGGGGTGTTGTAATCTGATTGACTGCAGGGCCTTTTCTACTTAATAGTTTACTGGTAAAGGGCTGCATTTTGTTTTTAATCACTGTCCCCCTTTTTGAGAATGGTAGTGTCATAATTCAGGTTATAAATTCTGGAAGGAAGGAAAAGGGGGGGGGATGTGTAGACAGAAAATAGGTGAGGGGGGGAGAGGAAGGGAGCCCTAAAGCAGACAGCAGGATCCAGTCCAACATCCCTTTTCTTGGCTCTACAGAGCTGCAGTGCTTGGGATTAGACAAGAAAAGATGAGGAGAAACCCACCGATAGAGGTCTAGGGCCCGTTTTTATCACTACGTAGCAACCATGGGAGGAGCCAACTCAGATCAGAACCAAGATTCTGGGAGAAATTCTTTCCCTGCATCATTTCTTGACCTTAGACGCTCATCCCGCAATTATCGGAGCAGCTGTTTCCCTATACAGGGGGGATAAAATAGCATGTCCCCCCCCCTCCAGTGGGGCATATAATATTTCTGAGTGGGACTGTCTGATGTTGGGACAAATGATGCGGGGGGGGGGGAAGCAAAATACCCCTGTTTTGTGCAACCCCCGTCCTCTTCCGGCTGGTCCTCCACAGTGACCACTTAGGGTCCCCCAAGCCCAAATCTTGACCGGTTTGACACTTGGATTAAAAGGCAAAAGGGGGAAGTGGCTCACAGAATCCACCAGTTTCAGATTCAGGCATCTTTAATGGCATAAAGTACATAATAGATACATTTAAGAAGATACATTTAATTCCAGTAAATGAATGTAGACAATAAAATATGTGTACTGTGTAAAAAGGCTGTATCTAAGTGTGGCTGATTCTGCTAAGAATTTTGCAACCGTAATTGTAGTATCAGTATTTACATCATTAAGAAGATATCGAACAGTTTTAAAGTTTAAATAAGCACGGCCAAAGAGGTAAAAATAGGGATGCCAGGTCCCCCAGGGGGGCGGGGGCCCCCAATCCGCCAGTCCGGATCCGGCTGGTGGGGGGAACCCCACCACCAAAATGCCTGGTTTGGGCTGACGTGCCCGGCGCGATGACATCACCCCGAAGTGACATCATCACACTGGGCACATTGCCAGGTGACGTGCGCAGCGCAATGACATCACTTCCGGGTGACATCATCGCGGCATGTGCACGCTATGCATACGTGCGAATGTCCCGGAATGGGACCACCGCTCCCCCGCTGCAAGAAGTTAGTCACTCGGCAACTCTAGGTAAAAATTTCATACGTGAGGATGTGTGTAGCTGGCAGTCTAGAATAATATGGAAGATTGAATCCTGGGCCATGCTGGAACATTTGCAGAGTCTTTCGGGGGGGGGGTGTTGTTGTTAAATCGACCCCACAACATGTTTGAGGGAAAGACGTTTAGCCGAGCCAACGTAAAGACTCTGCGATGGGAAAGAAGGCTGAGATTGTGTAAGTAATGGGCCATTTGGCCATGTTGGGCAGAGAGATTGAGGTGAGCTTGTGAATAAATGTGCGGATGTGAAGGACGAAAATGATGTGACACACAGAATCCAACAGCTGAAGTGGATGTCGAGCAGTAACCAAATTCTCCCTTCGCAGCGGAGTACAAGACCCTGTGTCCAGGCGGTGAAGGGTTCCGGCCCAACCCCATCACGGTCATTTTGGAAGGTAAGAGAAGCTGAGGAACATGGGGGGAGGGAGTAGCAGCTGTCCCCAGATGGCTGAGATTTTGCAGTCTTGGTATTTAAAAATGTTTATTAAGCTTTTCATGAAAATACATTAAAATAGCTATCTCAGTTATTTATCAATTACTGGGAGAGTACAATTGGAGTAAGAAATCTAATCCATAACGGGTATGGGGAAAAGAGTGTGTTTCCTCAAATAATGACTTGAATTGGAATAAGATCTGAACATCATTCCCTTTGACCACAAATAATCAATTGATAAAGCTACAATCCTTTAAGATATATTCTCAGTGGTACCTTACACCCCACCGATTATTTTTATGTAAATTAAAGGATAGTCCAAATTGTTGGAAAGGTTGTGGGTTAAAAGGTTATTTTTTCCACTGTTGGTGGGATTGTTCCAGTATTAAACAATTTTGGACTAAGGTTGTGTCTGCAATCTCAACGATTGTGAATTATAACATCCCCGTTACACCGCAATCAGTATTGTTAAACTATTGGCCAGATCCATCCTTAACTACCTTAAGAAAAGAACTAATTTCTGTACTGCTCTCCGTGGCTAAATCCTTGATCGCTCAGGTATGGAATCAAGATAAAGATATTGAAATGTTGGGACATGGCAGTGGCAGATAAAATTGCAACTCAGTTACTGGCTGCCCAAACAACGTCTTTATCTAATAATTTTATGGAGCGATGGTTTCCTTTTTTTTAATATACCTCTTCAAATTCTGAAACAGTCCAGGGCTATTTTTGGGCAGGAACGCACAGGAGCAGAGTTCCGGCTGGCTTCAGAGTTGGCCACATCTACTACAGCCAAAACCTCTGCGTGCGTGGCTACAGAGGGAAGGCCTGGAGAACGACCCCCCCTGGCGACTCCGAGGCGGGCAGGCCAGGGGGGCCCCTGGAAGGATTGGGGAGGCATTTAAA